ATTATTAATAGCATATAATACAATAACGATAAAATATTTTTTGCATATTTTATATTTAGATGATACATCACCTTAAAGATAATGCTTCATCAGACTCTATAGACTGGTGCCACAGAATCACAAAGAGAATTATCAAATAACAAATGCCACATAAATGAAAGAACTCCAACACCAGCAACAGCTAAAATGGATAGCACATGTAACTGAAAAGGAAAATAATGATATAATCAAGATGTTGACTTTCCACAATACATGAGACAAAAGATTAGAAAGGAAACTCCTGTTAATACTGGAAAGAGCAATAACAGTTAGTGGGAAAATGAAATATTATCAATAAATAAAATAATAATAATGAATAATAAGAAAAGAAAAAGAAATACATTTACTCATGATACTAGTAATAAAGGAACAAGAATTTTATTACCCCACTTGGCTTCATCAATCACCATTAGGTGGAACTTTTAAGTTTATAAAAAGGCAAACATTTCCTCCCAATCTCTCTCTTTCTCCTCGTTGTTTTAAGATGTAGCAATATGTAAAAAAGGACAGTCCCACTGGGACACTTTTGTTTTCCTGATCCACTGATAACTGAGCTCTCTTTCCACTTTCCAATGCATGGTGTTCACACATGTCTTCCAAAACCTCCACCTATTAAGTAAATAAACATTTTCTTTGGTTGTTCCAACACAGGGCAAAGCTGACTTGAGTCTGACCATTATAACCATGCTTAAACCTCCCATGAGGAAGTAAGTATAAACTTTTCTTTGGTCATTCCAAGGTTGACTTGAGCTTGACCATCATAACGATCTGGACCAAAAAGAAAATGGAAATACCCAAGAGACATTGAGAACTTTGTTTCACTATGGTTTATATTAAAAATAAGAGAATAAAAAGTTTGTGGTCAAAACCCAAATTTTTATATGCTTCTCTTTAATTGTTTACATATGAACATGCACACACCTATAATACATCAACATGCAACCTTTTAAATTCCATAACAGTTTTAAATTAGAGAAGTCTATTTTCTTGAAAAACCTTTAAGTGAAAGATTTTATAAATTTCAAGTGACAGTAATGCTGACTACTTGATCAATGAATGCTGAATTTTTCTTGTATGAAAACAGCTAATCTCACAAAGACCATCTCAAGTATGCAAATTGTTAAAGCAGATGTGGTGTTATTGCCACACTACAAAGATATGAACCTGTAATGGGAGAGAGCTATGATGAATGATTTATTCTCCCATTTATTTCTACCATTATGAACATTATTATATTTGTGATATAATAAAACCATAGTTTACAGATGGAACAGAATAGCTGAAAGGAAAAAGAATGACAAACTTGCTTTGTTTTCAGACAGACTATTATACTAAGACATGTACAAAACTATATATATACAATTGTGTCCAACACACAGATTAATATATTACATATATCTACACTGCAAAGCAGAGTGTAAGGAGAAATAAAAAGGAAGGGTCTTACACATAATATGGAGATATTCCTATGTCTGGAGAAGCTATGTTTAGGATTCAAACGGGCTGGATTCATCTATGCCCCAGATGAGGATATATTCCACAAAAAAAAAATTTTTATATTTTAAAAAAAAAAAGAAATTTGCACCAATGAAAAGTGAATAAATTATTTCTTAACTCAATATAAAAGAAAAATGAGAAAATTTACAGTCAATTGCTGATATCTCCTGAGGAGTAGACAGAGCAATTGTGGGAGCACCCATCTATGATGACTATAACATCACTCAGCTAATTGACAAATTTTATATATCCTCATTAATCCTATATATATATATATATATATATTATATGTTATTTTTATAGATACAAATGTTTAAGTAAATGCTCTGTTTATAATAAACAGTATTAACAACATTTACTGGCCTGAATTCATAGATCGACAGGAATTGAATTTGTATCCTACACAGAACTGTTATATAGCCTGATGTGCTATACCATTTAATTATAGAGGAAGCATCTGGTTAGCAAATTCAAATTACTTGCTAATCAGATGCTTCCTATGTAACTAAAAGTCAAACTTGTACATATGGTTCATCACTAAAGAAGCTGGAAAATTATTTGATTCACTGTACCACTCCAGTAAATACCTGACTCCTACTAAGCTCTATCTTTAAAAGAGCCAGAGCAGGCTGAAAATTGAGTACCCCTGCCATATATCCAGTCATCATTTTTTACTCTCAATAGAGTTCAAGCGACTCTACATCTTTATGGGCGATAAATTATTTTCCAGCCTACAAGCCCTTTCTCACAGACAAGATGTCGCAAGTCTCTCACTGCTCTTATGCTATTTCCATGGAGAATGTTTAGTTGAAGTACATTCTTTTGTTCCACCAGTCCTAATCTTCACAGCTAAGACCCGCCATTCCATGCACATTGTAGTGAAACCATCCTCATTCCCTTCATATTTCTTTGGTGAGATATAAGTTCTGCTTAAGCAGCTTCTTCCCATTGGATTCCCAAGAGGATGTTTCTCTGATCACTACAATCTTAATATGTTCAAATCTAGGATTAAACATTCACATAAGATGTGTCTTTTATCTGTAACTCTCTACCTTGAATGGCTCTTGGGCTTTGTACAGAGTGAACATTAATGTAAATAAATAGAAACAGATAACTTACACTCTTTGGGTCCTGTCACTGGATTTAACTAACGCCTTTATCCATGTGTCCTTGAGTACATCTGTGTATGAATATCTGGGTATTATAAACCTAATGTCTTCAGCAACCTTTTTTTTACCAGTGCTCATATAGCAATTTCTGCTGTTATCATTATGTGTTTTTACCAGAGCTCATATTGCAATTTTCGTTGTTATTATTGCTTTTCTTTGGCACTCCTTATTACTGGTTCCCATATTGTATTCATTTCTATGCTTGGTCAGCTCAGGAGATTTTTGTGGCCTAGCATATGTGCTGATTCCTTAAGTTTACGAATTTTCCAATGATGTTCTTTATCTATGATTTCAACCTGTTCCCACAGAGGTTGGTGATCTCGCTTTTCTATCTATATGTGATCAGCCACGCCTGATTTTTCCACTTCCCCTTGTGTTACAGCTTTCTGGTGTTCTTGAAGCCTTACCTTAAGAGGCCAGCCTGTCTCCCCTTTATATTTCTTTCTGCAGCTGCATGGGATGACATACACACAGTCTTTAGTCATGTTCTCCTCTGGGCGGGGTGGGGGGGTTCTTACTTGGTAGAGGTATCTGCAAAGTGTCGTCCAGCTTTTGAAGGTTGTCCTGATGTTATATGGACCGCAGATCCTTTGTAATATCTCTGATAACCCCTTCTCATAAGGCAGGCAGACTGTTTTTTGAGTTTTGTTGTCCTTCTCTTGTACCCGCCTATCCCAGTTTATTGGGGATGCTGCCATGTACCCAGGGTAGTTGTTACATTGTAGGGTACTGCTTATACTGACCAATTCTTTATCTAATGTCTCTGGGTCGTCACTTATGATTTTCGCTCTGTGTTGTAAGCAGTGGACAATCCCTTTCTTTAGGCAGTATGGATGGTGGGAGTTGAAATTGAGGTACTGTCCGGTGAATGTCAGTTTGCAGTTTTCAGATGTCTTGAACCCATGATGAAAGGTATTTTAACTAAAACTGCTAGATTCAATTTTTCGTATTAACTTCCTATATTTATATTACATGCAGACTCTTGTTCTCATCTTTGTTGTCATTTTGCCATTTTTTCATCTGTTGTGCCCTACGCCTTCTTCAAGTGTTTGTCAATCTAGGTAACCTTCAGGGAATTTTGAACTGAGCCCTTTACTCAATTTATGGAGGTAGATTGTTCTTTTTCACTGGTCATGTCTAGGGATGTCTTGTCTAGCCATTATTTAGTTCTGCAAAGTTATTGCTCATCCACTTTCCGCCAAGTTCCAGTCTGCACTATCAAACCCAGAGATTAAACTCACAATTTCAATGTCAGCAAAAACTGATACTTTAATTTAGTACAGTATGGAGGACACAGCAGCTGAAATCTTGTGATAATAACAACAAAGATTAGAATTATAGGCCACATGTAATTAATATAAATAATAATAACTCCTCATCCCAGATATTCAGAGAAATAATTTCCCATAATTCTATTGATTAAATTAGGCAACACTAAAATCAGTGCTTTTTTCCAAAATGAAACTAAAAACAAACCACTACTCCATTTTTTTTAAAATTTGCCAAAATTTAGGAAATTATCTGATTTAAACAAAAATTTAAATACTTATTAATTGATGAATTGTATACTGGATAGGTTATTTTATTGGAAATCTCAGTGGAAATATTTTTTTTTACATTAATCCTTAAATTTACTAATTTACTTGGTTTTTTAATTTGTTGTTTTCATTTTTCATCTAGAATGGAGGTTTGATGATTAGTGATGTTTTAAAAAAGTGCCTAACAACTTTTTTTTTCTCTAAATTTATTTTCTTTTTTACAGATTAGCTTTAGGATATATTTCAAATAAAACCAAAATTTAACATAGAAAACATTTTTAAATTATTTAAAAATAAAATGCGTTTTTTTTTTAAGCCTGTGACGGTACCTATTTTAATTTTCGCTATTTTTCATATATTATTAATATTAAATTTAAATTATTAATATTTTTTAATTGCTCTGTGCTTGCTTTAAAAATATGTTCAGTTCGATATTATTTTGAAAAGTAATGGAACAAAACAGTTAGTTTCCCTCACAACACTAGGCAATAGAATGACAAAAAGATCCTTGCTTGTTATATTTGAAGTTGTTTGTTTAAGTTTATTACTTTAAAATTATTTTCTTGAATCTTCCACAAGTGGAAGTAGAACTCTTCTGTTTCTGAAGAACGCTTTTCGTACAACAAGAAGCGTCTGTTACATTGGTGGTCAGTTTTCATGTTGAAACAAGTTTTATTTCTCACTGATTGGCGGACGGAAAATTCAGGAAAATTGTCAACCTTTCTGTGATCTACTAAAAAAACCATCTTGCTACAGAATGGATAAGCCACAAATAATTGCTCATGTGCAAAAGTCATTGAATTACACACTTTTTGATGCAAAATGGATTCCTTGCTCAGCAAAATTTGTTGTTCTTGGTAACTATGCACGCGGTACCGGGGCTCTTCAAATTTATGAAATATCTCATGGCGATGTGAAGTTGGTTCATGAAGTAAATATATTTTAATACAAACATCTATATTTTTTAATTTAAGTAATAAATTAATTTCATGCGGAATGTGATTTAAAAAATAACAGCTTCTGTTTTTAGTTTTTTTCTTTCTGTTTTTGTTTGTAAGTTTCGATTCTTTTTTGTCGATTATTCGAAAGTTTTTACTTGTGTTTTAAAGTTTAAAAAACTGATTTAGACTTCTTGTTTTTTTAAGTTTAATGTTTACACTTTGAAATTCTGGGATTGAAAAACATGTTATTTTCGAAAAACAAACAATAAAAGAAAGAGTGTTAAACACTAATAAACAGTAAAGTAAATAAATGTAAAACGACTTTTTTCTTCTTACTATTTTTTTCTAAATGTTTGAAGTCGTGTAAAAAAACATTACAACTGATATTTTATACAAAAAAAAAAAAAAAAGCAATAGTGCCGTTAGTACAAGGTTTTGAAAAATAAATAAATTTATATGATCAAAAATCAAAATTAAATTAACTTTATTTTGCTTTTTTTTTACAACCGAAAAAAATGACGATAGAGTTTTAAAACATCAGCACCTTATCTTTTTTTGTTTTTGTTTTTAATTTGTTGTCTCAACTTGTGATCCATTGGAATTGAAATTAAGAGATTTTATTAACCACAAACTTTGGGAATATCTTCTTAACATTTGAAACAAATTGAATAATAAAATAAAAATAAAATTCTCGTCTTATTTTATTCATCAATCGCAATTTTTCAATTACAAATGTAGTTCATCCAGCAAGGTAATTAAAAAATATCAGTTTATTATTTAAATTTTATCTTTTCACGAGAAAGAAAGTGAAATTGAAAGCCCAAATTTTGGATCGACATCGAATGGCACAACGGCATGAATAATAAAGATAGAAATTATATTCTGTAAAGTAATTGAAAACTTAAAATTTAAAAATGTTTAAATAAGTGACTATTTTATTGTCATAATTTTAAATTAAAATTACGACAATAAAAGTATATTTATTTTTTTAAATAAGGATTTTTGTGCAATATGGAGGGCGGAAAGAGCAGAACTGACAATACCCGTTTTTTACGGTTTTTTGTAATGAAATAAGTCAGATTGCATATTTTGAAATATACTACTACTTTTCTGACTTATTACTTAACAATAACATTATTTAACCAATTTATAACACATTTCAAGAGTCATTTGCAGTGTCCTCATCTTGATTGTTATTCAAGTTTCATTTTCATGATTTTTAAAATTCAGGGTTTTTTTTAAAATTTCATGTCTCTTTTCAGTTTACTTTTTAATGTATGTGAATTACCATGGCTTCTTAGGAAGGATAGTGGAGTGATTTTCCAATGTGTTCTTTACTTTATAATATAGTTTTGAATTCTGAGTAGTCTTTCTGCTACTCAAGGCTAGTGAACCCATTCTACCCTGCTATTTAACACATAGCAACCAGTCAAATAGAAGGACTACTATAAATTCAAAACTATATTATATAATAAAGTGAATTCAATCGATGAGTTTTTTCCTTTGGCAGAAATTGAACTTGGCTTACCAGTTACACTTTCCAGATGACTAACAATTACACTAACTACCCATACATCCACAAAGCTCAAACTATCAAACCATAAAGTTTTCTATATCTTATTGTTAATTTTTTTCTTATGTTTTCTAAATTTTGATTTGCTTCTTCAGGTATTTGTCATAGTTGGTAACCTTTTGGGAATTGCAAAACCAATCCTTTATTCCACAGGTGTAAATTGTTCACATTCTGCTTTCTGTATTTTAGGATTTCTCATATTAATTACTGTGCATTTCTCTGAACCAGTATAAATATTAAACACTTGACTGCCAGGTAACTTGATTCATTTAATCAACTTTTTTCTGTTAGACCATGTGTTTCTTAGGATAATTCAGGTTGTCGCTTGTTTACATTTTCAATTGAACTAGAGTAAATGACATTGTGCTGATAATCAAAATGAGGACACTCGTCCAAATAATAATCTGTGTATAGTAACATACTGAGTATTTTTCAGGTTATTAATAAAGGAAATTGTCAATAATTAATATGGACCAGAGATAACTTCATTGAAATTATATCATTGAAAATTCTAACACTGCAACACTATTTATATTTGGACTATTGTCCTCATCTTTGTTGTTTTTATCACAATGTTTCAACCATTGTGCCCTCTGTCCTCCCTCAGGAATTCTGAAAAGAAGCCTTTATTTAATTGACTGTTCTCATTTCACTGCTTATGTCTAAGGATATAATCTAGTTTAGATGATAGTACTGTTCCGTGTGTACTTGCACTCAGTGTAAATGGGTGAGCAATAACTGAACAGCACTAAATAAAAATAAGAACTAGACAAGATATCCCTAGACCTGAGTAGTGAAACAAGAGCAGTCTACCCCTGTAGATTAAATAAAGGGTTCAGTTCGGAATTCCCTTTAGGTTATCCAGATCGATAAACACCTGGGGAAGGCCAGAAGATACAACAGCTGTAACATCATGATAAAAATAACAAATATGAGGACAATAGTCCCAATATAATGATAACTCCTCATCCCAGAAATTCAGACAAAAACTGCAGTCTTTAAAGTATTTTTAAAAAATGTAGTTTCATAATTACTTTATTTGTAATGTGATATAAGATCTAATTTCTTCTGTTGTGTCATTTTGTTTTTTTACTTTAGGATTCACTTGTGAGTTTTATATTATGTCAGTGTTATGTTTCACATATATCACTCAATCTTGTTCAATTTTATTTTTGACATTTTCTCTTGAATACAATGCATGGTTAAACAAATTTATCAAAATCCAATTCTCTTTTTCTTATGTGCAATCATATTTCACTGTCTTCTTCATCTCTCTGATTTTGGGGGTGTACCTTTTTTTATTTCAGGCTGAGAAACCTAAAGAATTTAAATGTGGAACATTTGCTGCATCCTCATTGGAGCAACGGCATTTTGCTACAGGAAATTTTGAAGGGAAATTACAAATTTGGTAAATAAAAGAGAAAATTTGGGTTTCATTTTCATTATTTTCAAACTTTAATTTAGATTACAAAACCTTAGTTTTCTTTGGTTTATTGTTTGAATTTTTGTTCTTTTTATATTTTTTAAATTTGTCTTCAATTTAGCTTATTGGTCAACAGTTGAACATAATATATAAAAGCTATTGGATTTATTTGATCATTGTCCATTAAAACAGTGATTCTCAGAGTTCTTTTTAATTACAAGACCCTTAATACATAAGGATATTTTTCACAGCACCCTTATGAAATGTTGAAGCATTTATGTTCATGTGGTTAGGTTAGTAAAAAATATAAATAAATAAATATATATCAAAATTTGGTTAACATAAATAAAAAATGAAAATGTTTTGAACTGATTTGACTGAATTGAACCTTTCTTTCTTCTGGAAACATTTGATAAAGTCAAATTTGAAGCTGATCTAAAAATGACTGACAATCTGTTAAATGGGGCAAGAAATGGCTTCTTAATTTTAATGCCTCCAAAATGAAACTGGTCTCTTTTAATTCTCTAAGAGGACCATTTTTGCTTTCCATTAGCATGGCTGATGCTAACCTTCTCAGGCTAATGTTTTTCACTGGCATGAAGTGGAAAGATTATATTGAATCATTTGCTAGGTCTACTGCTAGAAAAGTTGATTCTCAATGTCATGCTAGACAACTTTTCTTGCCAGAATTTATCTTACATATTTATAAGTCTACCATTCATCCATGCATTGAAATTTTTGATAAAATCCAATGAAAAATCTACAATGTTATCAGTCTTGATCTGGCACCTCGGCTTCAGTCACATTTTTACCACCGTAACAACTTCCCTATGTGTTTTCTACAAATATTTTCATGATAATTGTTCTGATAAGCTTTCTTCTTTGGTACCTTGACTTTATGAATTTAAATGCAATATTAGATTGGCAATTAGGTCTCATCATTTTACTGTTAAAATGTCTAGATGCAACTGTAAGTTCTATACTAACAGTTCTTTCTCTCGCACTTCTTGCTTGTGGCACGTTTTCTGGCTCTATGCTTTACAGTCAACTTTGATCTTCAAAAATGTAAATACAATGTCAATCATTATCTTCTGTCGTCATTGCTATTCTTTTATTGTTCTCTCTCCTTAATAATGTTTTCTTTTTCTCATATTCTTTATCACTTAGTAACCTCTTGTGTTGTAGTGGCTTTATTGCCTTCATTGGTGTGAAATGATTAAAGAAATAGTTTTGTTTATGAGGAAAAGTAACCTTTATAATGAAAACAGATGTGACATAGAGAGAGAGAGAGAGAGAGACCCCCCCCAACTCCCCCGAGGTGGATTTAGTAATCAACAGTGCTAAAGAATTAGGATGAAGGTGCTAATTACTTGGGTAGAAGGGATTCCGGAGTAATTCCAGAAATAAGTTTTTTTTTTTTTTTCTCTTTTTTTTTTTCTCTTAATAATTGTTTCTGGGGTTAAGTTATTAGTTAATTACATGTAATAATTCCAAAGTGATTAAGAGACGGATTCGTTAAAGTAAAGTTTGTGATAAATGGCAAATTGGATTTTTGGGTGGTCTGAATAGCGGAATTCAACCAGACGGGATAAGTGGTTTTGGCAAAATTTAAGTATACGTTGTCTGCGAAAGATCCAGCAGGAGGTCCGAATCTGATTTTAGTACCTCTTGAAAACTGGTTGCCTGTGGAGATCTGGAGATTAGGCAGAAACACATGGTGGTCCAGGCAATTTGCATATTAAAATTCGGGGGCGGTGCCTAAAGATGGTTTAGCTTTGCCTCTCTCTATATAAGCTGCCCGCACACTTGAGTTAGTGAGATGAGTTTGGAGTTCGGAGTTCGGAGATCAGAACACGGAAGAGGTGGCTTGTTGGAATTTGCTGGTCTGGTCTGTTGGTTGCCCTGTGTCAAGAAGACCAATCTGAGCCAAGAGATCGAAATAGAACCCGTAAGAATCCAGTTAACTTCGTCAACAAGGCTGTGAGAAGGCAGACTGCTATATCGTAGGGTGCAGACGAAGTTTCACGAATTACTTCCCTTAGATCAGCCGAAATTGTTTAGGCAGAAATTTTCCTACTCTCTCTCTGTGACTTTCCGACCCAAACGAGTGAATCTCGTTACGACATTTTGTACTCGTGTAAATTCTTCGGTAGAGACATAAAAAACAGTGGCCTAAATAGGGCTCTTTGTACAGGAACAGGAGTTGCTTATTTTTTTTCTTATTCATGTGTTTGCGGCTACGACAAGAAACTTTTGCTGCATGAATAGTGATTTCTTTTCAGCGAAATACCCAGCCATTTCCTCCCCTTCCCACCAGATCGTTCTAGGGAGATGAATACACTGCTGTTCGGATCAAGAATTCACAACGTGGCGAATAGTGGTGGTTACTTCAGTTCACCGGAAGAAGATCGGGTGGATTTCTTTTTCGGCCAGAACCACTGGGGGAGACAGGACAGAACTGCGACAGGCAGGGTTATTACATTAGACAGATGAACTGGCTTAATGATTTGCAATGTAAGGGTCTACTTTAGCAGGCTGATGCTAATGCGGATGTTGTAAATTGTACATCAGGTGTCACCAAGAGGGACACAATGTAAGAGTCTAGTTTGATATCATATATATATTGCAAATAGATAATCCAGTTTAGAGTTAATTTACTAGTTTCTTCCATAAAAGTAAGTCAGCATATGATTGTATTAAAATTTCTAAGTATCTCACATTACCCCTGTGAGCTAGCTGTGATGCCATGATGCACACTTTGAAAACTGTATTAAAACATATATGAATGTCAAACAATGTTTTAGTCTTCCTAAAAGATGGGTATTCTCATAGATTTTTGTAAAATTGACACGCACAACTAAAAATCCATTGACGTCATGTAAAAGTGAATTCAGCTCTCATAAACTTTATTCCTTTAGAAAGAAAAATTAAAGAATATTCTGATAGAAAATTTTATTTTTATCCAATATATAAACAACAGAAATTTCTGTTGAAAATTTATTATCATTATGCAGTAACTAATAATTTTTGTTGACTAATGAGGTAATAAGAATTTAGCATGTATTGTTGTGAAATGACCCTGTTATGAAATAAGCAGATCATTTCCTCTTGTGCAGATTGTCAGTGACTAATTCAAGCTGTTTGGGATATCCAATGGTGAGAGATATTTATAATTTTATGTCCATATGGACAGCCATATCATTTGTAAAAAAAAAATATTTAAATAAAAATAAATTTTGTGAGAATATTTACTAAAAGGCAATAAAATAAAATGTCAGACTGAAGCTAGGGATAGAAATAGACATCTTAGCAGATGAATAAATATTTGTTGAATTGTAATATATAAGCATAATTATGTAATGGTAATTAGATATAATGATTGAATATATATTATTTGTCAGTTTAATTATTTTGTTCATTCAGGGATCTTGAAAAGACACGTGATCCTGTTTATTCTGTGAAAGCGCATAAAGAAATCATTAATTCCATAGATGGTGTTGGAGGTCTTGGAATTGGAGAAGGAGCGCCAGAAATTGTGACTGGAAGTAGAGATGGTAAACATTTTTTTTTTCTTATGCATATTTTTATTCTTGCACTAGGAAATCTACTTAATGGTAACTTGGTAACTCTGGAATATTTACATGCTTGAAAATATTTGTATTTGGAAAAGTAGCAAATTTTATAAGAAAGGATTAATTGGCAATGGTGGAAGTAGAAATTTCAGTTATCTTGAAATGGATCTTTTCAAGTTGATTTCTTTAAGCTATCAGAATAATAGAAAACATAAGCAGATACAATATTGTATTTTTTGTGTACTAAAATATTTTGAAATTGCAAATTTCATAAAATCATTTAATCAGTATTTGCAATAAAAAATTGAAAACCTTTCAAATTATACATTTAACCCCTTCCCTGCCAATTATTTTAGGAAAAACATTTCATTTTCAGATAAATTTTTTATTTGTTTTTAATATAGTAATTAAGAAACAGAGGCACCTTGAAATACCTGAGCGATGACTAACACCTCTACCAAACATACGAGTTGACAATTGGACTTGTTTCAAGCTCAGAAGGGCATAAAAAAATTCAGAATTTTTAAAACATGTCAAATTTTGTAGCTGAAGTGTTAAGTAACTTAATATGGACTTCAGTCCAGAGTTTGACCCCTAGAGTTTTGTCATGTATTTGGGAATTGTATTTAAAAAAATATATACTTTTTTTTTTTTTTTTACAGTATTTATATTTAAACTCTGCAAACAATTTTTAAAAAATATTATTTATTTTTTTTTTTTTTTTCTTAAACTAAAGGAAGTGTAAAAGTTTGGGACCCACGACAAAAAGACAAACCAGTTGCTGTAATGGAGGCCAAAAAAGAAGACACACGTAGAGATTGTTGGGCTGTCGCCTTTGGTAAGTCCTTCTGTTGAGGAACTTTACTCTTCTGAATTATTTCTTCTGTTACTGACTTTTGATTATTCAAAAATTAGCTTTCAACTAATTTTCAAATTGCAATTCTTATTTACTCATAAAAAGGTCATTATTTCTTAACAGGATCATAACATTGTGATCAGTTGTTACAAGTTTTTATTATAGACTTATAATCATATTTAAAAATTTTCCCTTAATCTTGTTTTTACTTCTTTTTCAATTTGTCAGTCTTTAATTTCAAAATCTCAGCAGTTGACTTTTTAATATTTATTGACTTATATTTTCAGGTGCACAAATCATTTCAATTCTGATTCATTCACCAATCTCAAGACATAAAGGCTGCTTCATAATTTAATAATAATGCTGTATTATATGAATACATCACTTCACATAATATAACAGTCATACAAGTAATTTTAAATAATTTGTTTAAAAATGAATATTGCGTTTGTGACATTGTGGTAATCGCACTTGGAAATTTTACAGTGAGAAAGTCTGATCTTAAAACAGTGTTACAAAGTGTTAACTATAATTTCAATTTTTTTTTTGTTTTTCCACCAGGTAATTCTTACAATACTGAAGAACGTTGTGTGTGTTCAGGTTATGACAATGGGGACGTGAAATTATTTGATCTGAAAACAATGTCTCTACGTTGGGAGACAAATATAAAAAATGGAGTAAGTTTCCTTATTTGCAAATATATATATTAAATAAATTATAATAAATAAATTAAAGCTTGGCATTATATAAATGCTTCCTTTTTCAACAAACATTTTCTTTAATATGAAAGGTGATTATTGTAAAATTTAGACAGTTGTAACATTGTGATGAAAATTTTAACTTATTTTTTTTAACATTATTTCATTTACCAAAGATGATCAAGTAATTGCTTATAGCTGAGACATTCTTTAAAATCCTGGATAATTTTATAACTAAAAAAAACCATTTTAAACAACAATAATAACAATCTACATGAAAGTCTATAGCTGTTGGTAAAAAGACCCACTTTTGAATATCTTTTACTATTTTGTAGAAAATCTTTCAAATTATTTTTGTTGCTGATTTTTTATTATTCAAGAAATAGATTTCAACTAATTTTCAAGCAGGAATTTTAAGGGTCAAATTTGATCATAAAAGGTCATATTTCCTGATATGATCGAGACATTATGATCACCTATTACAACTTTTGTTTCTTATAAAGTTATAATTCTAGCATTTTAAAGTTATATTTGTGAATCCTTTAACTACATGACCTTTTCATTTTTAGTTCTTCATTCAATTCTTCTCAATTGTTATTTGCAGGTTTGTTTTCTCGAATTTGATAGAAAAGATATCAATATGAACAAACTTGTTGCAACTTCTCTGGAATCTAAATTCCATGTGTTTGACTTACGTACACAGCATCCCACAAAAGGATTTGCTTCTGTTAGCGAACGGGTGAGCAACCTTTTGCCTATTTATGTGCTCATGCCTATTCAATTAAAAGATCAAAAATTGTTTTTCTTGATATTTTTTTCAAACTATTTTTGCTTTTACTGAATAATTTCAAGCATGAGATAATATTTAATCGATCCGTCTTTCATTTTATTGTAGTTCTTGAAAACATAACTTCAGTTTTACTACTCAAGTCATGTTTTTGATGAGCAGTAAATCAAATAATATACTCAATAGATTTACCTGTTGAGTGGTGGCTATCAAGCATCCTTTTAGTTTCATAATTTCCAAATATCATGAAAATTGCATCTGAGAACTCTCCAGGGGTCAGATTATTCTTTTCCAGCTTATTTTTGATGATGCCATTTCTATTTATAGTTAGCTATTCCAAATTGTTGATTCTTTTTCTATCTAGAGCCATGCTTAGTGATAATGGCATAATTATATAAATATTAACTTGGATTTTTATAGACATCATCAGTGTAGTAAATTGTGCAGAAGAAAGGCTATTTTAGTATTTCCTCTTTTTGTTGGTTACACAGAAGCAGTAGGCATCGTTAAACTACAGGTTTATTGCCATAACATGTTGAAACACCCATTCTTGTACAAACAACATCAAGCCTGGTCAGTACATAGATGGGTGATAACTTGGGAAGACCAGGTGATATGTTTGGATATATGGGTGGTGTAATATATAATGGCTCAGAATTGGAAATTAGAGAGCCAAGTTCCACAGGTTTGCTATATTCACTTACATACAAATAACCTTGGGAAAGGTATGAATCCACCTCTTCTCTACATCACCAATTAATAGAACTTGTAACAATAAATCATCATTAAAAATATTCTTGCAATCTAAAGATATTTTCTAGCTTTAAATAACATGCTAAAAGTTGATAAGCCTAAAAAACAAATCAAATTGCTCAACTACATATATTTCGTACAAATTATCACTGAATTGTTGAGCTTTTAAGTTGGAAATTTGGCTTTTGCCTTTTCCTGAATTCAATTTCTAATTTTTAAATTATAAAATGTTGACATTCATAATGTATAAGGCATTACTTTTTTAACTTTCTAAGTGAGTTTCATTCACTTGCTTTATATATTCATGTATGGAAGATCAAAATATAATATTGTCAGAAATTCTAAATGGTATTATACTTTTTTCATGGCCAATACCCCAATCTTTAGTCTTGATTGGGGAACTACCTGGCCATATTCAGAATAGAAGCCTTAATTCAGGAAGGTAGACAGGGTTTTTATTTTATTTTCATTTTTCTGTTCTCACATCAAGTGTCTTCCTAAGATTGATCTTACCATCCTTTTCTTGACATGTTAGTTGAGTGCAACATTATTTGGAACTGCACTGATCTTAGGCTTGAGTACTAGCATCAGACAAGGTCTTATAAACTTTCTTAGCCAAGAGAATCGCCTCACATTTCTAGGGGTCAAAATACAATAATTTGGTCCTCTAGGTTTCACTGTCAAAAACATTTTTTTTGCATAAAAAACTGATGTATGCTTTTAATGTTTTCTTTTTTCTCTCCAACAGACCCACAACGCTACAATCTGGTCTGTGCGCCATCTTCCACAAAACAGAGATATCTTCATGACAATGGGAGGAAATGGCTCTTTAAATCTGTGGAAATAGTAGGTTTAATTATTCATTCTTGTTAGAAAAAAAAAACAAAAAAAAACATTTAAATTTTTTTATCTTTGACTGTGTCTTGTGGTATGATCCATCTCCCCCATTAATGGATCTGTCCTGAACACACATTCAGGAGAACCAGTGTATCCCAAACCTCTGAGTTTGAGATACACTGTTTGTCTATCTCTCTGTCTTCGGGCAGAGAGGAACCCAGGGAAGGCTGTGCCAAAGGGCAGAGTTTCGTCTGGGTTCCTTATTATTACGAGGTCTACGGGGAATTTTTACCCAAGCCAACAAGTTCGGAAAGACCCACATTAAACCAGCCTTGTGCCACATCCTGCTTTGTGGGAAGCTCAGATAAATATTGAGTATCCCAAACCTTTGAGTTTGAGATACACTGCTTGTCAGCCTCTCTGCTTTTAGACAGAGAGGGACCCACACAAGGTTATGCCGAAGGGTAGAATCTTATCTGAGGAGGTAGACAGCTACCTGACCCTATGGGCTCAGAATGCCCCACATAAAATAACCAGCCTTGTGCCACATCCTGCTTGTGGGGAGCTCAGGTAAATACTGAGTATATCAAACCTCTGTGTTTGAAATACACTGCTTGTCAACCTCTCTGCCTGAAGGCAGAGAGGAACCCAGATGAGGCTCTGCCCTTTGGCATAGCCTCATCTTGGGAAGTAGACAGCTACCCGACCCCATATATATAGGGTCTATGGGGAATTTTTGCCCAAGCTTACAGGCTCAGAAAGATACACATAAAACTAGTCTTGTGCCACATCCTGCCTTGTGGGGAGCTCAGGTAAATACCGAGTATATTAAACCTCTGGGTTTGAAATACATGCTTGTCAACCTCTCTGCCTTTGGGAAGAGAGGAATCCAGATTTGTCTATGCCAAAAGCAGAGTCTTGTCTGCAAGGTAGACAGCAACCCGACCCTATGTATTTGAGGTCTACAGGGAATTTTTGCCTGAGTCTATGGCCTTGGAATGTCCCATGTAAATTAATCGGACTTTTGCCGCATCCCACCTGTGGGGAGTTTGGGTAAATACCGAGTATATTAAAGCTCAAGGAGTCAGTTGGAACATTGCCTGGCTCTGCTTGTCAACATCTCCTCCTCTGGGCAGAGAGGAGCCCAGACAGGGTTATGGTAAAGGGCAGAGTCTCATCTGGGGAAGTAGACAGCAACCTGACCCCATATATACGAGGTCTATGGGGAATTTTTGCCTGAGCCTACAGGCTCAGAAAGACCCATGTTAAACTGGCCTTGTACCGCATCTCATTTTAAGAATGGATAATTTACGCTACCCAGAGAAACTTATTATTGACCCTGATGCATCTGACACTGAACTGGAATATTGTCACTGGAATGTAACTTTCAGGAACTTCTTGAGCATGTACTGCAACCAACTATCTCACCAACTATGTCTCAGCAGAAGTTTACAATTATTTTGTGGATACATCTTCCTATGAAGAGGCTTTAACAATACTGGACAACATCTACATTAAAAAGAAAAATGAAATGGTCTCTAGCTTCAAGGCATTAACTGCCCTCAGACTCCATTGATGGATTTTTATCAAGTCTAAGTAAGAACTGTTCATTTTCTTCAGTATCAGTAGAACAATATCAAGCTGAATTGATCGGAGATGCCTTCATATACGAGCTAATGTCCACAGATATCCAACAAAGAATACTCAAAAACAGTACCTTAACATTACAGCAGGTCTATTACCAGGCAAGAATACTAGATTTAGCAGAACAAATTGCTAAATATTACGATACAGTTGCAGTAACGTCAAGAGACCTCTCCCCCTATTTTGGCCTCCCAATTGTATGAACTGAAATATCAACTTTAACTGAACACATTTTTTCTGCAGGGTCAAGAGACATGCAAGATCATTATGGCCTGTGAGAAGGGACAAATACTATACATGCGGAAAGCAGGGATGTTGGGCATAAGTTTGTAAAAGAAAGAAATAGTGGAGCAAAATGTAACTTGTTCAGCATCATAGAAATCACTGCTAACGAACAGCCACTAAAAGCACTGATTGACATGGGGAGCACAGAAAACTTTCTCATTGTGAAACTAAATTTGTGGAAAATTAACTGTGCCTAAAGAAAGTGGTGATGGCAAGCTCATCTCTTTCCATACTAATACTTGGATACTGTTTAGTTGATCTATGAGTAAAGGGTACTCTATATCAAGGAGTAAGATGTCTACTAATGAAAGATCTATGGTGCAACCTAATATTAGGGCACAATGTCTTACACCAACACTCATTAGTAGAAATACCTTTCATAGGCTCAAAGCCACCCTTTAAAGTCTATGGTCTAGCAGCTATGAGAATGCTGTACTCAGCTCTCTTCAACAATATGACACAAGGTTGTAAACTGGTAGCTACTAAATTTAGGTGAAATACTGAGGAAAATAAATTATTTATCCAAACCAAAGTTACTCATATGTTGAAGAAAGGAATGATTGAACCCAGCCATTCACTTTGGAGAGCCCATGCCTTAGTAGTCTCCTCTGAGAACAGAAAAAAGTAAATGGTAATCGACTATTCCCAAACAACAAACTGGTTTACTTTGCTGGATGCCTACCCTCTGCCAAGAATAGATGATATGATAGAGAAAATAACCAAAAATGGTCTATTTACTACTCTAGACCTTAAAAGTACCTACCATCAATTGACTATAAGGTCCAGCGATACACCCTATATGGTCTTCGAGGTCAGCAGCAAATTATCAATTTCACAGAATACAATTTGGTATGGGGTAACTAGTTTTCAAAGAGTGATAGACCAGATAATATCAAAAAGAACTTTCAAGGCACCTATGTTTATATCGATAATACAACTATTTATGGGAAAAATCAAGCAGAACATGATAAAAATCTTAAATTATTCATGGCAGCTGTTAAGAAATACAAGCTTATTCTTAACCACAACAAATGTTATTTTAGACGTAGAAATATAAAATTACTTGGGTATATTATACATAAAAACAGCATAAAACCCAATCTAGAACATCTAAATCCATTACTCAGCCATGCGTTAGGAATGTTTGCACACTATGCACATTGGATTTCATCTTTTTCAGACAGAATCCAGCCTCCAATAACAATATCAAACTTCCTGTTATCTCCCATAGCAGAGAAAGCATTTAACAACTTAAAGAGGGACATAGCGAAAGCAGACATTACTACACCCGATCATACACTACCTTTGGTAGTAGAGACATACAGATCAGAATGAGTCATAGTTGCCTCTTTAAGACAGTCAGGAAGGCCCATAACCTTTTCTCCAGAACCCTGTCTAAATCAGAACATAGGCATTCTGAAATAGGGAAAGAAGCCTATGCTATTGTCAAATCGCTGAAAAAATGGAGGCGTTATTTGATCAAGTGACATTTTAAACTGTCTCATTCATTTTCAACCGGAAAATAAGCAAAATTAAAAATGAGAAGATAACCAGGTTGAGAATGGAACTCTTGTGTTACTCGTTCGATATAACATACCACCAATATACATGAGTCTGTTACCCTGATGGACAGGAAGACACAGGGACTTGGCTCCAGCAGGGGATGAATTGGGACCCATAAGCTTAAGCGAGGGCTATCCTCAGGACACTGTGACTGACTACAAAGAAACAGAAACATGGTTCCTTTATGAAGATTACAAGGAACCCTTGAGTTCTGGTCCTTCAAGTGGTGATGAACGGGTTTCACAGAAGAGAGCTCACCCACTTACCAATACTTCAGACGACGACCAAACTACTTATATAAGATTACGACAGGATTAAATCCAGTTCTTGTGAAAAAGAGGAAATACCTCATCATGCCTCTGGAAATCCACCACACCCTCACAGACCACAAAGGATGCCTGCTTGATTCAGGGACTTCTTCCCCTCTGTAAGAATAAGGCAGGGGAGAATGTGGTATGATCCCTCTCTCTCCCATCAATGGATCTGTCCTGAATGCATATATTCAAGAGAACTCTGCTGATATGTAAAGTATATTAAAGCTTATTTATAAGCGATACATATTGTTTAGAACAATTCTACTACAAGTCTATTAGTAGATGGGCAAGATTAGGTGGATCTAGTTAACATTTCAAACATATTTTTTGCTATGTCAGATGAAAGCATGTTTCAGATATACTTTCTATGTACTTTTTCTCTTTAAATATAAAATATAGTTAATGAATAAAGACATTTTTGAATGGAATTGTTTTTTTTTCTTTTAGTAATTATCCTGCAAAACGAGTAAGCACTGACTCGGATGGCAAGCAGATGGGAGTGGCTGGCACTTTAGATTTACTGCAAAATGTTACTCTCTCAACTCAGCCAATCAACAGTTTTGACTGGAATCCTGATAAAGCAGGATTGGGTGTGTGCACAGCCTTTGACCAAACATTACGGGTTCTAATTGTTACAAAACTCAATAGATTGTAAACAATAAAGAAATATTTTGCAAAAAAACAATTTTTTTTGTTCTTTTTTTATCATTGAAATAATTTTAAAGTGATTTTTAAAAAATATTACAAGTATTTACCCATGAATGATGCAGATTGTATAAGTAAACATGACTATTAATTTAAAATCCAAGATTTTCCTATTACCAACAAAGCAATTTTAGAAAAAGTTAATAGAAAAAATAGAGAGCAAAAAAGTAAGAAAACTTCCTTAAAAGCTACGATGTTAATTATCGAATTGAAATTGCATATAAAGCAACATAATTAGTTGTCATTATATTTTAATCACATAAATTAAAATCTGCAATTGTATTGACAAATTCATAAAAATTTATTTACAATTGAAATAAATAAGAACAGATTGACATCTAAAAAATATTTATTGCCTTGTTCAAATCTCATTAAAAAAAGGTTCCAGTTAAGTCTTTTCAGTAATTCAATTCATAGTCTTATTTTTGGTTTCTTCTCAGGTGGAGGCTTTGCTCCTGATGAATTTTGCTTGTCTTCAATTTTTTCATGACGATTCTCAAGTTTTACTTCAGGTTTCTCTTCTGGAAGGAAAAAAATTTTTTTTTTTTAATTAGTGTTGCTTTATAACAAAAACAAAGGAGTCTTCATTTCAAGCCCTTTTACATTTTGAGATCATTGGCACTTCAAAATTTATCTGGATTGGTAAAAAGGTTTATATAACTTTTTATAGCACTAAAATAAACACACTTTTGTGATAGATAGAAATGACTGACATGCTACTATTCATCATTTACTAAGGACTTATTTTCAAGATAACTCAATCCTATTTATAGAATTATAATGTTACAGACTTGTGCAAAGAAATTCTGGGTTCATATCTTCCATAAGTTTTAGTAAAAAAAAAAAATAAAAAAATCAAACATTGAAAATATTCACTTTTTTAATAATTTTTGAGTGTTTATCAATTTTATCCTAAAAAAATAAAGTACATTTATATTTTATTCAATTATATATTCAAAATTCTTTGCAATAACTTATTGCGAATTAATAGGCTGTTTGTTCTTTGAAACCTTTTGAATAAAACTTTACAGGTTTTAAGACGAAAAACTTTTTGATCAACTCTTGAATTTGGCTTCTCTTTTTTTTTTATTAGATTTTTCTCCATCAAAGTATTTTGTAGCAATGGAAAAAGGCAATAATTAGTTGGTTCAAGATCAGATGAAAAGAGTTCCAAAGTTAATCTTGCTATGTGCAAGTCTTGCATTGTCATGGAATAGAACAACATATAATAAATCCACCATATGCACTGCTGTGCAAAAAACTGAAATATATTTGTGTACTCAAAATTTATTCTTAACTGCCAAGTATTATGAGTAGTTAAGGACAGTATATTTGTCATTACAATCAATTGCGAAATGGAAATTATTTATAACTCAACCTAATATTTTGTTGCTTTTTAGAGTCACTCTAAAATAAATGCTGAAGAAAGTGTTTAAAATCTTCTTTTTTTTTTTAAATAGCATTTCTATAATTAAATATATAAACAAAGCTTTTATTTACCTTTCTGTTCTGGTTGTGCAGGAGTTGCAAATTTAGGAGGAAATTTCTTGACAAGTTCCCCTAAAAGTAAATCAACTCGTTGGCGTTGAAACACAGAACTTGGTTCTTCTTTCTTTTTGGAATCTTTTGGTTTATTTTTTTCTGAACAACAAAAAAAATGTTTAGAGGCAGAGATTAAAAAAAATTGAGCTCATGTCAAAATCAATTTGTGTTTATATTTATATGTGTTCTGTGTGTGCAAAAGTGATGGAAAGTTTTGAACATATTTAATATATAATGCATCAATTTTTGTTTTTAGTGATTGTAAAATATTTTGACTTGGAAGACTTTTATTCAGATTTCTATGTCATGATTTCACCTAAAAAATTCTAAAAACTGTTTTCTTTTCTTAAAGGATAAAAATATTATTATCATCAACATTTGCCACTTGGATATTAAGTGATCTTGCTTCTATTACTGAGTCAACACTTTCATTCATTAAACTGTAGAGGCATTTGAATAATAATCTTATAAAGATGAATGTTATTTTGAATTAAAATGCTAATAATTCTGACTTCATACATAATTACAGTGATACTCAGATTGGCTTAACTTTAGTTGCCATGTTCAGTGTATTACAGAAAAAAGCCAAATTTTTGGAAGACATTTTTCACTCTCCCTATACACAAAGATTTCTATGTCATTTTTTCTGTCATCTGCTACTACATGACCTATAGAGTTGAATTTTCATGCCTACTTGATTTTGATATTCCCAATGCATAACTCACAACTTGAGTTGTCTCTTTCGATGGCAGTTATACATTCTGTCTTTTTACTGTTAATAGTCTTTTCTTCTTGCTTTCCATTACTAGTTTCTGTCTTTTTACTGTTAATAGTCTTTTCTTCTTGCTTTCCATTACTAGTTTGTTTAAGACATCTTTCAGTTTTCCTTCCAAGTCTGTCATGAACACAGTGTCATCCACATCTTGTTAAGAATATATGATGATAAATACTGGTAGGTTTTATAGTTCTCCTAGGATCCTCTTGTTGCAAAGGTTAATTAAATCGGGTGAAAAAAAATGCATCCTTGTTACACTCCTTTATCTATTTTTATGTAGTCACTGAATTCTTTCCCTATCTGCATTTTTCCAGGATGTTTCTTCCCAGTAAAGGTTACAGATTACACAAATACCTTTCCATGTAAATAAAGCTTTTCAAGTATTCAAAATTGGTATTTGTGGTGTGACTTATCAAATGTTTTTGTGTAATCTATGAAATATGGGTATTGCTCTCTCTGATAACATTTCTTGTTCTAATATCTTGAACAAAGCCACACTGTTCTTCTCCTATTTTTGGTCAAATTCTATTATGTGCTCTGTTCACTAGAATCTTCATGACAAGTTTTGTTATGTGGCCTCATTAAGCTGATTACCTGACGCATAGTGGAGTAATGGTCAGCAGTTCAGATTGAGGAACTGAAGAGCCAAGTTTGAATTCCAGTTGAGTTCATTACATTCATTTACATGCTAATACTTTTGGGAACTTCTGCTATGCTGGGTCAACTTTCATTTGGAATCAGTGGGTTTGTTTGAGGGAGCTGATTCAATCAACCAGGTGAATGCTGGGACAAGTACAGGATTGCCTGATGGAATTTACATTCATTGGCAGCTGTTCTCTTTGGTTTTCTTATGAAGACAGATTTTTCTACTATTTCACTGTTATGTGTATTATTTCAGTAACCTTTTACTAATCACAATATTGTCTAAGGGTAACAACTTCTGTTACCATTCTATTTGATCCTGTTGCTTTGTTTCTGGTTCATCTTGTCCAGTGGTGATCTTACCTTGTATTTTAATACTACAGATGCCCCTGTGTTTTTATGTATTGGAGGTTTTACTGCTCTGCTATCATGGAAAAAGTCTGCTGTATTTGCTTCATCTTTGTAAGATCATTTCTTTCTTTATTAGGAGCATTCTCTTTTTAGATTTTATGCATCCTGTTGAGGAGTATGTTGTCTCTCCTGCTATTTCTTTAATCTTTTTATGCATATCTGCTATGATTTGTAGTCTTTCTATTTCTGCATAGTTTATGTGAAGACATTCATCTTTTATTTTTATTTATTTTTAATGCCTTTGCTTAATATTCTATATTCCTGTCATTCCTTGGCATTACCTACTGTCATTTTTTCATTAGTACAAAAGTTTTATGTCATCCACTTTGCTTGTCTTGCCTTCTGTAGAATAATCTCTTTTGCTAAAGTCACTAGGCCTACATTTAAGCTATTCCACTTTTACTGACCTCTTCTAAGCCTTTACATTTGTCCTTAACTACATCAATATTAACCTTTATCACTCTGTATGTGACTTTATTTGCTATACAAAAAGTTTATCCTGCCACTGAAGGTTACTCTGAACAATAGTGTTTGAATTTCATAGTTGTGTTATCATATCCTGCTATGGCAACAGAAAACAACTTAAGTAAAATTAACAATAAGGAGACTGCAATTGAGGGGCCTTGAAAAAGAATGCAGTAGGAAAGGAAGTAATATTAATAAATCAGAGTGCTAAAGGTTGAATGTTTGTTTCAAATCTGTTGTAGTTTAGGTGTTGATAGATACGGAAATTGATTTTTTAAAAATCCCCTTTTCAAAGAAGCTTGGTAATGTTTCTTTTTTCTCCTTTTCTTCAGTAAATTTAATTTTATTCCAAGAAATTGAGTACTAGTCATCCTTTTCTAATCTTCAATAATAAATTTACTGAATTTCTTTTGGTATGAGAAATCTGCACACACACAAAGTTCTGTCCAACTCAATTTTTCATCATTTACTCAAATTGGGATGGATGTCAGACATGAGGTAAAACAAAGATAGGACCTTTGTTTTGTTTTTCCAGCAATCATTTTCAAATTCAATTTAAGCAGATTTTAGAGAAAATCCATAGGCCTCTACAGATGAGTGAAACCATTTTTAATCAAATTTTTCAGTTGAATTAAAAATTTGGATTCTATAAAAAAATATTGATAGATAAACAAAAAAGAGCTTTAAGTTTTTTTTTTGTACTCTGATACACAAAGAGCAAATATATGTAGATTCATTAGAGAGTAAATCTATCCTATACAATCATAATTGCCCAATGTTGGATTTACAAAAGAAAATCTTTCTTAATAAGAGAAGGAATAATAAGACCGTTATCAGCGGAGAAGAGGAATCTTGTCTGATAGCTTTTCAACTGCATTACAAGGCACTGATCTTACAAACTTAGAGTAAAAACATAAAATGAATACAAAAACTTACCTGTTTCTTCTTTGTCTTTAAATTCCCACCAATATCCTTTGGATGGATGATACCGTGAATAAGACAGTGCTTTAAGAAAAGAAAAATAATGTGTCTATATATATATATATATATATATATATATATAAAGGAAAAGCTTAACACATCACACAAATACGGTAAGATGAAAAGAAAACTTAGCTGATGCATTTCGTCCTCTGATGGACTTTATCAAAGCAAATGTAAGGATTTTATTTTGCAACAGGTACATATGACAACAAAATTATTCACAAACTTACCAAACTATATATCCATTTACTGGAGTCAAAAAGTACAGCTGTATTTAAAATAAACATGATTTTGATAAAACTGATGTTTTACTTAACTGTATATAATAATAATGCATACAATATTCATATATTAGTATTGTATTATAAAATACAAACATAACGAATATGCATCTGTTCTATTGTTTACATTTATAAGATACTAGCAGTAGAACCCGGCATTGCCCGGGGATGTAACAGTAAGAGATAGATCAAGTATATTGACCATCATAAAGACTGAAAAATAAAATTGACAAAGATTTTTGTTTAAGGTTGACGGACATGCATGTCTTAATTAGTTTTTTGTTTTTGTTTTTACGAATTGGTCAAACCCAAACTCAAGCAAAAACATTGTTTTCAATCGTTATGAGTTTACCGATTGAATTGAATTTTATTATAAACAATTGTCTTGTAAATGGAATTTTTAAAGCATTCTGAATGTAAAAATAAAGAAAAAAGTGTGCAAGACAATAAGCAAGACATATAGGAAGGGTTACTAAAATGTGTGCAGTCTGACCAAGAAGGAAATCTAAGAAAAAAGAAATTCTGATGTTGGATCAGATCTTGGAATGTGGGTTAAGTGAAGAACTTTACAGCACTCACTCATTATGCAGTCTACGTGAACACATCTGTCAAAATTTGACTAATTTTGATATAATGATAGTAATTTTAAGTTAAACTTATTTTGAACGGGATGTTATGAAAATACAAAAACATTTTTCTATTAGATGAAGAGATAATTAAGAAACAAAAAACACTTTGAAACAAGTGAATTATGTTAATTACCATTGTAGCTAGTAATCCTCATTATTTTTTGTAGCTTTAAGAGTTTCCCCTCAGATTATATTTAATGATGAAATACTAAGGAGATTTTAAGAATTCATTATTGAAGAGAAATCATGAAATCCTATAGCCAACATAGAGTAACCAAAGACTGAACCAAATACTAATAAAGGGAAGTAATATTTGAGTGTTAGAAACCCTAAAATGGAATACCAATGCCGGTTATATTAACCTATTACTACCCACTGTAATGTATAGTCTTAATTATAAAAGTAAAAAAAAAAATGGTTTTAAATTATAGGTTTCTACTAAAAAAAAAAAAAAGAAAAATCAGGTATGAATTATAAGTTTTTAAAAAAACTGGTATCATTGGTTTCTATATAGAACCCATTAATGGTGAAATGGGACAGTGAACATTAATAGGTTAATATACTTATATATCTTGATGTTATTTATCTTTACATCTTAAATAAAAAAAGGAAGAACACTGCTTAGTCTATAAATAGACTAAGCAGTGTTCTTTATGATTCATTATATAAACACTGATATACAATGAGAAGACAGTATAGCAACAAAAGCATTTCCCAATAAGATCTGTTTTAGTATTGAAGAGAAATAAATCAGATTATTACATAAAAAATTGACTTACCTTCTGTAAATGCAGATTGTAAATTATGAACAGTGTTTAACTGTAAAAAAAAAAAACCCAAAAAACAGCTATTATTGAATATAAACTCATTCATTGCAAAAACATATTTCAAATCTGGTTTTTAATGTTTTGAGAATATTTTTAATCTAATTTTTCACAAAGCATTTTAAAAGGTTTAAGTTTTAATGAAAATTTCTACTTCATAACCCAATTTATTACTGAATCATTTGAAATATTAATATCCTCATACTTAATTCTTTTTTAGTCTTCAATCGTTGTGTTTAATCAAAGCAGAATAATTTGTAATTACATTTCAAACCTATTTTCTTATCTACACTCGGATATTCAACCATTTTGGGAAAATAGGATAATAATATTCCTGCTTTCCAGGAAACCTGCATCAAGTTATGATCAAGAAACATCTGTTTGTATTAAAATAAAAAATTTATCATAGCCCATCTTTTGTTTTGATATTAGGAGAAATAATCACTTGTATTATTAAAACTTAGTTTGAAGCATCCCTTTGATATCTATGTCTAAGGGGTCAAAATATAGTATTGCGATGATTAAGTTTAGGAAATTTATTTTGGAATTTTTCAAATTTGTAAAAACAATTGTAACAAAAAGCTTTTGTTTTTACAGATCTTTAGTAGATATTGGAACATTTGGAAGCTTAGCTAATTGAGCCCCATTCACATCATTAACGTACTTTATACGAGGGGGTACTGAAATAGTCTCAGCCCAACGGACTTTACAAAATTGACTTGATTAAAGATGAGATTTTTTGGAAGGAAAGGTTTCTTGGAACTTTTCAGCACCCCTTTGATATGAGATCTAAGGGGTCAAAATATAATACTGTCAGAAATTCTGAGAAGAGGTAACATAATTATTCCATGGTCAGCATCCCAAATAAAACCAAAAGGTGAATATCAGCAAAAATGAAATTTAAGGAAAGAGAAAATGTTAAAAAGATTAAATATTTCTGCTTACCATTCTTGAGTTGACAACTGAACCCAAATCAGGGGCTTGGTAAACGACACCGGCACTGATATAATAATCTGCTAAAGGAGTTACTGAAAAGAGAAAATAACATTTTATACGAAAATACATATATTTCACATCAAATCTATACATTACCATTTTTATTCTTTGCAAGGTTCCAACAGATCTGTATAAAAAAAAATCCTAGGACTATGTTAAGAAGTTTCAAGGACTGAAAATGATGCATGCACATGCAGACACACACACACAAAAAAAAAACACCCAAAATGAATAGTTATTAATTTCAAAAACAAACTTTGTGATTTATGTTTTGATTATTTAACAGATGAGATCTTCAAAGAAAAGTTACAACTGGTTCCAATAATTCATGTCACATGGATCAGTTGAAAGCAGTGAAGAATTCTAAGTGTTGAAGGCTAAAAACACAACTGAATGCAGGTCTGGCTATGTTACATATTTTGTGTACCATTCTATACAGTTTGAGTTCCACTACACTTGAAAATGTTGAATTACACACTTGAATTCTTACTGCTACACATTTTCTGTGATGTAATGGTTTTAATGAATAGAACTAGAAATAGAAATGTTCACAAAAAAGACAACCCATTTTAGCCAGCCCTACTACTCATGGCTTTCATTGAACATGGTATGGAACACAATGATGTTAATATTTTTTTCAGTTCATCTAGTTTAGTATTCATCTCCTCTTCCAATTTTGATATCTCTATGGACTTGTCCTTTGCAGATCTTCATATTGCATTGGACTTTATGATATTTGTGAAGTTCTGAATCTGCCCAGCTTTCTTTGGATAGCTGTCAGCTGACTTGAACAAATCTTGTGTGCAACTTTCAAGCTTGTGTTTTTTGGTCTTCAGTTCTTTAATTTCCATAAGCATGGATTTCCTTTTTTTGCCCAGCTGCTTCTTCCTGCTTTTTTACTTCACAGCCTCAAGGTATTGGTTGTAAGCTGTTCTGGCACTGAAAGCACTGCAGAGAAGAGTCTTAGCGTTATGCACAAGTGCAATAATTATTACCATAATGAAAGGAGGGGGGGGAGAAAACAAATAGGCTGTATGAGAAGTAACTATAACATATCTGTTTTTCTCTCTTTCCTCCTCTTTTGTTTCTTTCTTTGCTGCTCATCCCTTTCAACCCAGACGGCCCAGCCCCATAAAATCGATATATGTGGAATCAGATCAAAGACTCATATGATAACTAACGCTGACACGGGAGAGTGCATGTTCAAGCCAGGCAAACTGTTTCCTCTCCTGAACACGTGTTTTAGCAAAAATTTAAAAAAACAATATCAGTTGGCAAAAAACCCTTGTACCGATAAGATCACAGATTATGTCTTCTGTGTATAGTGAGAGAAAAGCAGTAATTTGACACACACAATTATTTTGTGGACAAAATAAAGAATTAAATTTGGACTGTTAATGAACTGATTTTCTTTCATAATGGGATTAAGACCATCAATGAGACGAAGTCATTGAATTTCATCTAATAATGTGAAAAGAGAATTTGAACTGTTTACTTCTGAAATACCTGGAAAATAACTCCTATATACTTGAGGAGTTTCAAGTATTTGGCCCATCTTAGACATTTCTACCCTATACGCATTTTCACCAAATGAACTCCCATCATTATATGTAACATACACCACATTCCATTACAAGAATATGTTTATCTCTTTCTTTTATTCATGGTTGTTCTCTTATTAAAATTTTGTTTAACTTTCATATCCTTGTTTATGTCATTCTTTCACTGGTTGTTGATATTATATGTTGTATATTGAATCATTCTGTCCTGGCAGACCATCCAATCTTTTTTAATGAATCTGCTGAATTCTTCACCTTAGATATCAAATCCAATCATTGGACAAAAATATAAATTCAACTATAAACGAATATTGTTAGGATATAAGGAGCTTGTATATTATTATTTATCCTGCTCCCAATCATGACACTTAGTCATAGGAATATTCTCAGCACCTCCAACTGTGCCCAAATAGTCCGTGATAATGCACTATGTGACCAGAGTCTGCTGTTTCATATTGCCAGTGGAACTTTCCTTATTAACTGAGAAACCTCTCTCTACTGAGGTCTGTTCATGAGAAGAGTACCAGCATTCTGAGAACATTTTACAATTTTTTATAGGTACCTCCACTTTTTCGGCATAATTTCAAATATCTAAGTTTAAAATTAATTTTTTAAAATGAAAAAACATTCTTGAAGATTTCATTTTAGCTTTAATTGAAAGTTTAATCATTAAATTTATTATTTCCATTAAGTAAACAATTCTGGTGTATTTCAGATACAAACTATATACATTGGAATGTCAAATTTAATTTTGATTTCTTAAATTTTCTTAAAAACGGCCATTTTCTTAATTTTAAGAAATTTGTAAACAAACACAAATTTATCGATTTTTTAAAAATATTTAAAAAATTTCTGACACGTTATTTTAGTAAAATTAAAAAATTTAATGTTAAATTAATCTGATTTAAAAGAAATATTACTTACTTATAGCATAAAAAAGTAATATACAACCAATTATTAACGATTGGTACTGTTATTTTTATCAAATATTTGATCTATGTGTTGATTGACAAGTGATGACAGCTACTACGGATGACCATAAATGAAAATTATTAGAAATCTGAATGAGCGCTTTTTTTTTTTAGTTTTACTGTTATGTTTATCAAAATAAAGGGACAAAACTCTTTTTATAATAATGGCAATTTCAGTCTACTGTACATGGAAATAAGGAACGTATTAAGTAAAAAAAATACAACATAAAAAATTATTTAAAAAAAAATTAGCACAACTAAGTTTATTAAACTTTGCAATTTTGAACTCGTAAATTTTGTTTCCACTTAATTACTACATCACCTCAAGGAAATAGCCTAATACAGAGCTTTACACGATTTTTAAACTATTATAAATTATTATAATTAAAATTTAAAACAAATGAAAAAATTCTTGTAAAATTTAATTATTCATCAGAAAATATTTATTTCTTCAGACAATAATAACCTTAATATTACTTATTTACAAAAGCAATTAAAAGCTTTTCTAATTAATATCATAGTTTTATTGGATTCATTATTTTTCAATTCAGAGCAGATTTTCCGTTAGCTCAAATTTGAAAAAAAAAGTAGGTGATTTACCATCTCCAATGACTCGTACTTTAAACAAAAAAAAAAATTTTCAGGAAATAGAAAGTTTTTGGACGAAATTTCATGACAATAAGTAAGTGGGGTGTAACATATTTAAAAAAAAAATATTTTTTACCAAAATTTTCTAAAAAGAAATATTTAAAAAATAATTTCATTCATTTGTGAATAAGTCCTGAAAATTTCATTAAAATTACTTGATTTTTACAAGAATTTCAAAATCAATGGGTTTTCAACGGAAAAAAAAGCGCAAAAAAAACAATGTTATTTTAACATCACCGCGATGACGTAAAACATAAGACTTTAACCAAAATTTCGAACGTGTTAGAAAATATTAAAAAATTTCAAAAAATAATTAAAAAATACTTTGGTCTTTCATCTTAATAATAACATAAGCATTTTGACGATAAAACTTTATTTTCATTAAGTTTGTGGCATTTTTCATTACGCTATGCTGTTTTCCCACGAAAAAGCAGACATACCTAGTTTTTTATATTCTATGTTGCTAGACAAAGAAGAGAAGAACAAAGTGTCCAGATGGTCCTCATGTTTGCTGAAATTTCTGAAAGCAATATTTCCAGCAGCCTCTTCCTCAAACTCTCTTTCTGGGAGACTTTGCCAGAAGTTTCCCAATGATGATGATGAACATTGTCTTTGTTGCATTTCTGCATTCAAACATATCTTTTGTTGACACATTTCCTTTTTTGGATAAATTTTACATAGCCGTCTGCTAGAAATCCAGACTCAATCATTGCAGCATGTTTGGATTTGACAAAATTCTTACAAATTCATTCAGTTTGGAAAATGTAATGATCTTTTTAGTGTGCTCTTCCTTTACAAATTTTCTTAACAGTTTCATGATCATGTTAAAAAGATCTTCTGTAAGGAAAGTAAGTAATGGTTTATCACTGATATTTTATCAGAAATAGTTCAATGTCTCTTAAAACAGACACAAAAATCTGCATTTTACTGGGAATGAAACATCATTTACATTTGACAGCACCACAGAGAACTTGGTCTGGGGACATTTTTTTTTTTAAGTTCACAAATTTGATGACATTTGGCCAAATATCTAGGTGTCGTTTACATGTTTGTACATTTTCTAGCCAAAAGTAAAGGGACGGGGTTGCCAAGCAATAAAAGCCAAAGAAGTTCTAATATATTTCATCGTTTTTTTCCCCACTTACAACAAAAGCTAGAGTTACAGGTCATTATTAGATTACAAACTTTAAAAATAACATTCTTCTTATTTTTTCAAAGATACATTTTCTATCCTATGCTAAAACACATCAAACCCCACATTTTCTATTCTATCATCCTTCCCATCTACATTTTCTCTGAGTCAAATTTGAGTCTCAAACTTGTCACTTTTAGCAAAAATTTAAACAAACATAGTTACACATAGATACACATTGAAACGGGACGTGTAAAGTATTTATTTTTTTCGGCATGGACTCACCCATCGCTGACCAGTGATCAAAAGGACTTTTTACTTTTGAAATTGACATGTGAATAACATTTCTTCAATTGCTCAAATTTTTAAAAATGCTAATAAATTTTTTGAGGTTCTACTAAAATGTATTTTATTACTGTAAAATAATTTATTATTTTCCTTTCAATTACGAATTCAATGAGTGTAAATTAATTTTTCTTTGATGGGAAATTTTTACTCGTCTCTGACACCTTTTATCTTTGCTTTTCCTCTTTTCTTGTTGAGTGAGGGTAGCAGCTAGGAGTAGACATGCCTTCATATTCTTTTTCGTCATTTAGACAAGAAAATACAGAAGTAACTACGAGGTCATGAACTTGTTCTAATCAAGGAAACAAACCAATGTTTGCAATAATTGCCAACTATAACTGATGATTAAAAAAACATTTTTCTTAAAGGACAATAACTTGTAAAAAAAACCAGGTTTCCGGGATTTGACATTTTGACTTTCATGAATTGAGAAAAATGGTGTGTGGGCAGTCCAATTTAGAAAATTCCAGGACTTTTCAACGAGCTTTTGGGCTATTACTGTTTTTGCAGGGTTTGAAAAGCTCCGAAAAAGGCCTTGTCAATTTTCCAGGACATTCGAAGGACTTGTACAAAGCATGTATTTACTTAATAGGTTATTCTGAGAGTAAGTTTGGATTTAGAATTTTGGTGAGATTTCCTTTTGAAAACAAAAAAATATGCTATTTTCTGATACTAATAAAAACATAAATTATATCTGAAATAGATTTTAACAGTTCAAAAATTGAATGCTTTTCAACTTTACATGGAAATGTCTTTAGAAATACACACACAGTATTGGCCACTTTAAAATATTGCAAATTTCTAATAATTGCCACTATATGAGTAGATGTTTCACACTGCATCTTCTACAAACATTGGCCTTCTTAGAATCATTTCCATACATAATTATCATATTTTGTCACAGGGGTTCTGAATAAGAGGGGAAAATCAGAGATGGCTTTAAAAAAGAGCCATACAAAAATTTTCAGCCACCTTTTTAAACAAAGCCAAGTATGATTTTTGAAAATTAGATCTTTATAATAAAAATTTATTACATAATATTAATTTCAAGAAGTTAATATTTCATGTAGCCTCCCTTAGCTTAAATAATCGCTTCAGTGTACCTGGGAAGAGATGTGTACAAATCCCTCATCATCTTTACAGGTATGAGATGCCATTATCTGGCCAAAAAAAAACACAATTTTTCAAGATGTCATAGATTTTCCTGAAGAACTCTTTAGTTTAGGTACCAACATGAGATTGTTGGAAAATGGGCATAGCAGGATAATAACGTCCTTAAACTTGACAAAAACAAAATTTTATTGTTAAAATGTTTATGTTTTTATTAAGAGGAAAGAACAAAGTAATTTTTAATTATTTTTCAAAATTTTTCAGTCTTTATTAGAGAATTCTAACTTCTGATTGAAAAACATTGTTTATCTTCATCAGTGAATGTCCTACTAAATAACATGGTGGATTTTTTGTGCATTTTTTTAAATGTCAGTCATTAATTTTGAAAATCTTGCAAAAATAAAAATAATTGTCGGATTTTAATGGAACTTTCAGAAACTATTCATAAATGATGGAAATTATATATATATAATATATATATTTTTTTTAAAGTCTTGGTAAAATGTTTTTTATATATTTATTACCCCCCCCCCACAATTAATTTTATGAAAACTCTTGAAATTGAAATTTGTACAGTTTTAGTGATTAATTAGTTAAAAGAACAAGGCTTTGAGGAAAGCAAATCATTTTTTTTTTTTTTAGTTGACACCCTTCTACCTTAAAATCAGCTCTGAATTGTAACATACAAAACTCAATAAAGATATTTAATTTCAAAAGCTTTTAGTTGCTTTTACTTGTTTTTATGAATATGGATAATATTATCTGAAAGAAAAAAACGTTTTCAATGAAAAATAAATTTTTACAACAATTATTTGTTATTTCTTAAATTATTTTATTTTTTTTACATTAAAGTTGTTAAATATTCTAAAATTAATGAAAATGATGTACAGTTTAGTCAATGGTGTTATTAAGTAGATAAATAGCATTACAGATTATAAAATAAAACTGGTTACAATCAGCAAATAGATAAAAATCTAAAATAACATGTTTTTTTTGTGTTCAAAAATAGCTTAATTCAAATATACAGAAGACTGGAAGCATCATGACAACAATAGTCCGTCACGTGGTTTGCGTTGGTAGTAACATAAACATTTGTTGATAAAATTCTGCTTTCGTCAAGTTTAAGACCGTTTTCATCATGCTATGCCTACTTAAAAATAACGAGATAAATAAGTTGTTCACATAAAGCTAAAATGTCACTTGTGACCTTCCGTACTATAATTTTCCTCCTGTAAGATGTCAGTGTGTGATGAAATCACACACGTCACTTGTCAATCAACACCATTGTTTTGACTGGCTTTCTCTCATTTTAAAGTACATTTTTTCAGCGCAGAAAGTAATGTTTGTTTCAAAATAGATTAAATAAACTTTATAATTTCTAATTTTCTTAAATTAATTTTTTAAAAAAATCAATTATGATTTTTTAAAAGAATTTTAAATGGAGACTTTCACTTTTGTAAACAAAAGTTAAAAAATGGCTGACGATCGATTTTCTGTTAATTTTGCTGATCAAAAAAATACAAGATTTTTAACAAAAATTTTAGAAATTATTAAATGTAAAAAAATAATAAAGAAATACTTTGATTTTTCCTCTTGATAATAACATAAACATTTAGATGATAAAAAATTATTTTCATCAAGTTCAAATTAAATTATTATCCTGCTATGCTCATTTTCCAGTGATCTCATGTTGGTACCTACTTTAGTTTTGCTTCCATTTGCTCAATTATATTTAAGTTTTGTTCTGAATTGGACAGAGGTTGAATGCTGCCAAATACAATTCCTTTTTTATGTATCACCAAAGCCTTAGAGTCATGCTCCCAAACTTCACTTTTTTTATTGTGTAACAAGACTCCTTTCACTTTCTTGTTAACCTCCTGACAAATTCTGACTTATTGGAATGCAGCTCCATCTTACTTTCATTGCTTATTCTAAACTTCTGCATCCCAAGTTGATGTCTTTGATAGACTTAATCTTGCCTTCAAATGATTCTTGCTTGTGTCTTAGCTGAAATACACACTTTCTGTCCATTGTTCTTGAAGGACATGCTTAGTGGTAGCTACTGACACCAAATTAGACAAGTCACACACATCCACCATTTGTTTTGCAGTCTTCTTTGGCTGAGATTATGCTGTCCTGTTCGGTTTATGTACTGTACTATATTGCAGCTTTGAAGTGCCTTGAAACTTCAAGAGGATTTCTGAAATGCCATTTTTTAAATTTTAAGTTCCTTTCCAATTAATTGCTAGCTTATATTCTTGAGCATTGTCATTCATTTTCATTCTGATGTCTTTAGAAATTTTAGGCATCCCCTCAAAATATAGTATGTTATATATTAGTTCTATATATTTGAAATTGCAGTAGTCTGGCTCTCAATTTCAGTTAAGAAATTCTAATTCAAATTGCATTAGCAGCACTAACATTTTGCTTGGTGAAAATAGTCACCTACAGAGTGTTGAAAGGTTAAAGTGGCTGAAGATTTTTAGATAATACTCTCTCTCTGTGTGTGTGTGTGTGTGTTTTGTTCTCGTATTTAATATCTTCAAAGAATTCAAATTAGAATTTTTAGTTACCATGAGTTGGTGAGTGCCGATGTTGTTTCCGAATGACATATAGAATAGGCTCCTGAACATGAAGCAGCTCATATTCAAGTCCAGTCATCTGGCTGTTATAAAAAAAAGGAACAGTGAGAAAAGAAATCATGAAATTTAGATACAGTTATATATATATATATATATATATATATATATATATATATATATATATATAAATAAATAATAAAATAAACATAGTAATCCGTATGGAATTTCCAAGAGGATAAAATATCCAAGGGAGATATATATACCTTACAAAATCCAACTTTTGACAAATATTAATAAAAAAAATGTTCAATACAATTTTCAGAAAACATGTGGCAATTTAAGACATAAAATAATTAGTACACTGACCTTTCTGTCAACATGGTTTGGTTTCTCCCAATCTCGTATTACCATGCAGAAATATATATATATATATATATATATATATATATATATATATATATATATATATATATATATAAAGAATTGAATTTTTTAATCTGGTATTTTTTACTTCAAACATCATATTGCTTTATTTACATTTTGATTCTGAAACTGAGCAGACATGAAGCTTTTGAGAAAATAATCTAAGTGAAGAGGGAGTCTTTTGCTTAAGAAAAAAATAATAGAAACTTGCTTGCTGCGTCATTCTTTGTGGCCAAGCAGTAAGGCACAATGGATCTAACTGTAGTTTCCCCTACATAAAGGTAACACAGGTTCAGTCCCTAACAGGGAATACATTTTTCTTTACTAAGATTTCTTGAAAGTGTGGGGTGATAAATGTAAAACACACTGTTTAATAAATAAAAGTTGGTCATCTATTTAAAAAATAGTGTATCCACTATAATAATGTTTGAAGTAATAACAACAATATATGCAATAACTACAACATTCTACATGTATGGACATATGCACAAGTGGACACATGATCAAGAATGCACACATACACCATGAAAAAAGCAATTTGTACCAACACATATAAAAAAGAAAAATCGACAAGTATAAACAGTCAATTGCTGACACCCCTTGACAAGTGGATGGAGTGATTCCAGGAGGTCCATCTATGAAACGTTGGAGTTGGGATGCTGAAGCTAACATCTATCAGCTAAGTGACAAACCTATATATATATATATATATATATATATATATATATATATATATATATAGATAGATAGATTAACCTAGTGAGCCAGACAAACCTACCTAGGTTTCACCTAAATGGATCGCCAGGGAAAGTTGGCTAAAGAGGCAAATGGAAACTCTTATTTATAGGCGATAGCCAAAAAATTATATCATGTGACCAAAAAAAGAAACACACAAACACAACCACAAAACCACCTTTTTAAAGATTTATTCAACAAAAAGGGGAGGGGATGTTAAAATACGGACTTTAAGGTGGAATGACAAATAAACGGGAACATACGTTTTAAATTAGTAACCACGATTTTTTATGTTGACATATGTTAAGAATTTCGGTTTTGGAGTTTAATAGCTGGTTAGGTTGATTATATAAAACTATGGCTAATTTCTCCTCTGTACATAATTTACAAAATTTTTGACCTGCTTTATATTTCGGGCATTTTTTTAATATTTCCCATTTAAGGATGGGGTCTTTATTAACTTCTTGTCTGGTTTTCCATACATAGGTGTATAATGTGGTACTATGTTTAGTTTTTTCGTTTTTAAAACTACTCGTGTGATTATAGTATCTTTTTTTAAATTTATCCTGAGTAGCACCTATGTATATTTTAGGGTTAGTATCCTCCCTATCTTTGTAAATTTTCACCTGGTAAACCACGATTCTTGCTGACATTTTCCTGTAATGGGCAGATATTTTTGCTTCTACAATTACAAGTAGGAGGGTTACTGATGATTTATCCTAGTTTTTTCTTATTCAATCCACTTATTAAGGTCCCTACATTGGGCATGCAACAATAACTAAAACATACATTATTTTTATTGTTTTATTGGCCTCAAAAATAGGGACATTTTTGAGGCCATTAAAACAAGTTATGAGGAAGTCCTATCTAAGAGTGGATATAAAAATAAATTGGAATATATTGACATAAATAGCCATAACAGTACTCGGAATAAACGTAACAATAGGCAGAGAAATATTTTGTGATTTAACCCTCCTTTTAATTTAGTGGTAAAAACAAAAATTGGCAAAATATTTTTTGACTTATTAGAGCAACATTTCCCCCCAAAAACTGAGTTGCATAAAATATTCAATAAAAATAATGTAAAACTTATTTACTTAGTTACTTGTTTACTCATATCGGGTTTTTCTTTGGGCTTCAAACCTGTATCTGTGTGATTTTTTTTTACCAGACTTTCATGTTTGTAGCTCTTTCTTTTAAAACCATTTTTCCCCCTCGAGATTGATTTGATTATTGGCAAATCAAAAATTCAGGGTTTTCAAAAATTAGTATAGTTATTTATATTTGTGTATATATATATATATATATATATATATATATATATATATATATATATATGGAGTGGACTCTCCTATCGTGAATGATAAATGAGGGTTAGCATTGGAAGGTGCCTTTTGTTTTACATTTATACATGCTAGCAGGGGCTATTGTGGAGAAAATCAAGTACAGGAAAGATATATTTCATTTGTGCTTTCTTAAGTGTGATACTAGCCCAGCCTTGCTGCAGGCGACAAAGTCACACTGACAGATGAAATTTGTTAAAGCAGGATTTTGATGGCATATCTGCTTCAGAGCTTGATGAAGCTGATCACATTGCTTCAGTCTACTGTCTTCAAAACCCTTTAACTTAATGAAACATGTCTTATGCCACTCAGTTTGATGCTTGGGCTTTCCGGGTTTTTGGATCAAAGTTGAGATGTTTCAATTTGTCTTTGTAGAGTAGGAGTGGACGTCCAAATGAACACTTGGAGTTTGGTAGTTGTCCATACAGCACCTTTTTTTGGAAGCCTATGCTCATCTATTCTCACAACATGACCTAAGTTGTATCTTTGCTAGAATTCTTTCAATGCCTGTGATGTTGTTACATTTCTTCAGTATTGCACTATTCTTGACCCTGTCATCCCATTTTGTATTACATATGGCACAAAGACTGTGCATCTGAAAGGTGTCAAGTTGATTTATATGTTTGTCGTACAGGGTCCAATAGCACCATAGAGAAGGGTTGAGAGAACGACTGATCTGTATATGTTGATCTTTAATCTGAGAGACACGTCTTCGGTGTTCCATAATCTATGTTTAAGTTTACCGAATACTTTGCTGTCTTTGGCTATTCTGGATTGGATTTCTCTGTTCATTTTTCCATCAGAAGAGACTGTTGATCCAAGATATGTGAACGCCTCAACAGTTTTTAATGTTGTACCATCAATGAATATGGAAGGATTTATGAGAGATGGGTTGCCTGGTACTGGCTGATACATTAGCTCAGTCTTCTTAATGTTGATAGTGAGTCCAAATGCTTTCGCTCTTTCAGAGAATTTATCAAGGATAGTTTGAATGTCTTCTAGACTGTGCTAATCGAGTGGCATCATCTGCTTTGAAAAGATTGTGTACCAGCTGCAGACCAAGTTTTGATTGTGCTTTAAAACGTTGCTGATTGTATAGACCTCCACTTGTTCTGAATTCAACAGTGACTTCTTCACTTAAGTCAGAGAATGCTTTTTCACACATAGCAGAAAAGAAACATGCAAAGAGTAGAGGAGCAAGAACGCAACTGTGCTATGTACTGACGGAGTTGAAAAAGGTGTCCGATTGCTCACTTCCTGATCTTACAAAAGCTTTCATTCCTTTGAGAAAGAAGATAATAATATGGAGCATTTTGTCTGGAACACCTAATTTTGACAAAACTTTCCAAAGAGCAATTTGAGATACAGTATCGAAAGCCTTTGTGAAGTCTACAAAAACAACAAATAGATCCTTGTTTTGTTCTTGTGCCTTCTCCTGAGCCTGTTGGAGACAAAAGATCATATCCACGGTTCCTCTACCGGATTGAAAACCACACTGGGTCATGCCGATTCTGAGACAAATTCCTTAAGCCTATTCAGGATGATATGAGCAAGAATTTTGCCACCAACCGAAAGAAAGGAAATTCCCCTCTATGGTTGTCACATTCTCACCTGTTTCCTTTGTGCTTATACAAATGGGCAATTGAAGCATCCTTATATTGCTGCCGTACTTCTCCCTTTTCCACACAAGGTTGAAAAATTCTCAAATTTTGTATATCAAAAGATTGGTGCCGCATTTGTATATTTTAGCTGGAATTCCATCTTTGCCAGGGGCTTTTCCATTCAAAAAGGTTAGCAGAAAGGCTTTGTACAACAGGTCTCTGAGAAAGATTGTTTATTACTTCAGCATCAACAGACAAATCATGATTTAGGACTGTGAAGTGTTCTGCCCAGCAATTGATAATGTGACTTTTGTTTGTGACCGCTGGAAATGGGACCAAAAACACCCTTCAAGTTTTGGTAAAATGATTTGAAGTCACATATGTCAGCAGTCTCCTACAAAGCTTTAGCCTTTGCTGTCCACCAGCCCTCCTTTCATCTCCTTCAATTTTGCTTGAGACTTTCCCATGGCTGATTTAAAAGCCTATTTCTTTTATAGTCATGCTTTGTCAGCCATCCAGATCTGATGACATTTATGCATGTTTTCAAGGAGAGATTTAATTTCAGGATCGTTTGAATCAAACCAGTCTTCATGTTCTTGCTGAACATACTCAAGTTTTTCTTTTGCTGAGTCATGTTTTGTAAGGCAGATCATTGCCGATTCAACTTCATTACCTACATCAAGAGATGAAAGTTTTGAGTCACACAATGTTTGGAAAAAGTCTAATGTTTTCCTGTCTTTCAGCTTTGTTATGTTTACCTTCTTCGGCAGGTTTGCGCTATTGTTTCTAATAGGCTTCTTCAAATGTATTGCCATATGTGAGCAAACAATTTTGTGATTTGACCAACATTTACTGTTTGTTAGTGATCGCGTAAGGTTTATGCCATGGCAATTACACTCATGAACGATGATGTAGTCAATGAAATGGTTGTGCCTTGATCTAAGATGTCGCCATGTAGTTTTGAAACTAGTTGGTTGTTGGAAAATTGTGTTGGTGATTACAAGATCGAATTCACTGCAAAGAGACAGCAGCAATACCCCATTAGAATTTGATTTACCGACGCCATGTTTTCCAATGACTTTACCCCAGGATAGTGTATCACATTCAACATGAGCATTGAAGTCCCCCCCCATCGCATAAAGTTTGTCAGGAAATGATGTCCGCCTTAGAAGTTCCCGAAGCTTGCAGTAAAAGGATTCTATGGTAGGCAGATAACTAATTAAAGTAGCATGCTTATTCTTACCGATAGGTAAGTGAAGAGACATTAGCCTGTCAGAAAAACCAACTGGAATTGATTCCAGTCATGATACAAGATTGTTTCTGATAGCAAATCCCATGCAAGATTCTCTTTTCGCAGATTCAGGTCATCCTATACAGAAGAAGGTGTAGCCATCTTCCATGTCTTTGAGTTGTCCTCTGTCTGGAAGTCTGGTTTCTGATAGAGCAGCAATACTGATGTTGTTCTGTTTAAGTACTTGTACAATAATTGCTGTTCTGCGTTCAGGGTTTTTCTTATTGTCCTAAAGAGTCCTTACATTTCAAGATACTATGAACATGTTTGTTTCAGTAAGTTTTGATTTTCTGAAATTTCGGGTGCGCAATTTGGATGCCCAGCCATATGCACTTAGGTCATGCTCGGACATGCAATTTTTAGGTTGCCATTGACCCTTCCTCATAAAAGGAAAGCAGTACCATCCCTAAATAGGGCTTCTTTGTAATGAGAGGGGGACACAAAGTGCAACAATGTTGGATTTTGTGCTGCACAACAGCCATCTACTTCTCACCACCCTTATGTGAAACTCAAGCTAAAGACTACTAGTGACATCCTCCACCTGTCCCTCTGTTGCTATCTCTTCCTTGCCATGAGATTTCTGTCCTGTATGTATTTGTGTTGAACTATTAGCCATCCAGCTACTGATCAACCTTCACTAAGATTTCTTTAAAGTGATCAGTTGCTTGTGTGGCACAAAGCACACTCTCTCCATCAAAACAACATAGCCCATACAGTTGCACTGTGTGCCACGCGTTAAGTGTTTGTGATGATCGCATGTTATATTATCATGGAGCTTGATATTGTGGGTATATATATATATATATATATATATATATATATACACACACACAAATTATGAGAAAATATCAGTAATCAATTTGCACATTTAATTATTTGACAATGAAATAACAAAGTGGACATTGTTGAACTCAAGTAATGTTCTTATTGATGGAATTATACATGGTGAGAGGGGAGATCTAAATGCAAACATCTGTTATAATTATGCACTGAAGGGAAGCAATGAAGATATGGAAATGGTAAATATTTCAAAATTTTTAGCATCTAATGTGTGTAAGTGTTTCCCAATGCTTTTGCCTTTATCTGCTGATGTTTTTAAATATCTACATTGTGACAGAAGATCTGCCAATAAAAGTAATATATATATATATATATATATATATATATATATATATATTCTCCTACATTTGATTATATATTAAATGAAAAGTTTAAAAGCAAAAACAATTTATGAAAATAATTCTACTTCCTACTTAGTCTTGAATTCGTTTCCTTTGGCCAATTTTTTTTTTTTTTTAGAACATTATTTTTTATTTTGTATTAAAACAAATTCTGTACCTTGTGAATCAAAGAAAACTTTGTGCAGACGTTTCATATTCTTAATATTTACCAATTGATAGGCAATGTTGATCACCATAACACAAAATGTTGATACTGGCAGATATAGTTAAGTGGTCAAAACAGAAATTAAGATTGAGAGATTGGCTTTTTTTATCTTCAGCACCAGCAAATTATCTTCAAAACTGATTCCAAAATCAAAGGACTTAATTACACAACAATTTTAACGGTAATTATAGGTACCTCCAGAATCATGCACACTTTTGACACAAGAATAAACAAAAACAATATCTTGTTTTTAAAAATTTATAAAATATCAGGGAATTAATGAATTTCATTGAAATTTTCAGCATTTATTAATTTTTCTAGTAAATGGACTTTCATTTTTGGTATGAATTTTTGAAAGTACGAGCAGGATTGTAAAATTACAATTGTTTAACCTTTGAACATGTTGACAAGTGAGGACAGCACTACTTGAATATACTGGTCCACTCATAAAAATTATGGAAAATTTGGGGTGGGGGAATAATTTTTATAGATTAGCATTCATTAGACCTTTCTTAGGCAATGGCACTTGTCCAAATTGAAAAAGATAATGATTAGTTACTGCAGGTTGGCGCCGATAAAGTGCGGTAGTTGGGGTCCAAAACTTCTATCCACAGTTTAGATGGTCCACGGTTTAGATCAAAAGTGAGCCACAATGTCAAGATTGCCAGCTTAGACCATCAAAACAAAGCTTGTCAAGTCCATGGAGTTATCCGCAAAAATGGGTAACACAGTGGCTAAGCATGCAAAATGCATATTCAATACTAAGAGTTGAATATTGGCAATTTTGAAAAATATTTATTAAAACTATCCTTTAATTTCACATAAAAATCTGTATAAATTTGAAAGACAGCCTAAAATGATTCCAATTATAAAGCGCCATGTCAATAGATCCATCATCGATAACAGCAAAATATGGCGGAAATCTTGTACATACGAGATTTTAACATTTTAACAAGAAAAACATAAAATTAATTTTTTTATAGTTTTATTAAGATTTTGAATAAAAACATTACATTATATTGTAATGTATTAATAAAAATAATATAATACAATGTAGTAACATCTACGTACAAGCAAAGGTTTCTATGCAATGTAATAATATAATACAAATTTTATGAAAATTTATTAAAAATGTTGTTTCATATTAATATGAAACAACATTTTTAATAAATTAACATGTACATAATGGAAAATAAAAATAAAGATTATATAAATTATTTGGAAAAGTACATAATTGATATTAAAGTAAGCTGCATATTTCACACTCAAAATGTCTGCAAAGTGCTAATCCAAACCACTACACAATCGTCAATGTGAAATGCCAAAGCCTAAACAATAATAAATGTCTGGGAAAATATGGATATACTGAAGGTTTATTTTAAATTGGGATCCACTGATTATTATGATCGTAATATGAACATGACAATAAATTTTGGGGTCCATTGTGCATGTGTAGCTTAAGCAACATTGTGGTTTATTGGTGCATGGCTTAATGGCGCTGACCTGTATTTTAGGAGAGGGTGGTCCTTTTGGAGGTACCTATAAATAATAAACTTACGTTAATTGTTCGGGACTCAAGTGTTGCATTTTTACGTTTTCGTTGTTGCATGTTCGGTCATAAAATGGATTTGTCCGTTCTGAGAAATATTCAAGCACATTGGAAGAGTTGAGAAGAGGAATCCAAGCACTGTTTTGCCAGGAAATCCCAAGAGATTCTGAAAATAGAAATGAAAAAATAAAGACAATAAAATTATATTATATCAGAAATACTTCATCACAAATTCTCTTAGCAGATCTTTAAAAAAGAAATCGTAATTTCCCAATATTTACTAAAATGCTTAAAGGAGAAACATTTTAACACTATACTTATGTCTATCTTTAACAGTTAATGAACTATGAAAAAGTTTGTTTTTTTTACAGTTATGTTCACCCTGCACTAGGCCCAAGAGCCACTAGAAGTAGATTTTTACAGAGGAAGGTAATAATGCTACCAAGATTCAAGGTGCACCAGAAGTGAAAGAGAAAGGCTAAACTTTTTAGAAGGAACCAGAATCCCAATTCTAAATAGGAAACAAGGGATAAACACTATCCCTGTTCAAAAGACAGGGGAGGGGCGTGAACCTATCTACTAGTAAGGAAAAATAAAATAGGCAGTAATTTCAGAGTTTAGGCGGAGACTTAGAAGTAGTTGAAGTAGTCTATTACATTGGCAGTTGAGTAAATTTAGAAAATGAATGAAATTCAAATGCGCGTTCATAATCCTGTCGGAATTTTTAAAAAAATCTAAGAGGTTTTCGCCATCAATAATCGAATCGGATAGTCAATAATGCGCGCACTCACTTTTTAGTTTATTTTTTTAGCTTTCATAAGAAATGTATGATTAACTTTAAAATAACTACTTTTATTTTAAAATTTGACTTTCTACCATAAAATTGAACATGACTAATAAACAACAAACTACAGCTGCTAATCGAGATTTAAACCAACGGTTCCGAATATGAAAATAGGTTCATAAAAAATGTAAACAAATTTAGCTTTAAGAATTTTCACTTAAAATATCAGAAAAATTTGTTCAACTCCTAAAATTTAAAGAATTTATTTAAGAATAATTGTAATTAGTATTTTCCAATGCGAAAAAAAAAAGTGTTTAATAGAATTATTATACTTATTCAAGTCACTTAAAATATTTTCCTAAAATTGTAGTGGACTTTTTTTTCTTTTACTTTTTGTTAAAAAAGCCTCAAACTTTTTATTTTTAATTATAAGATTTCATTAATAATTCAATTAATTAACCATCGGCTTCCTTTATTTAAAAAAAAAAAGCAATAAATAAAATCGTATTAGTTCAAAAATAGATAAATTATTTTTAACGGAAAAAATATATACTCTTTTGATACTTTATTTCAAGTCTTTTCTGTAAAAAGAACTTGGTTTGTAAATATTTTATTATCCTAAAATTTGCCGGCATTTTTATAATTTGGACTTTTTTTTTTAACAAAATTTTTTATTAAGCGCTTACCTTTTTCAGCCATTTTTGATTTAGATAGCTGCGCAGCGAATCCAATTTTAGCCTCGGAAACATATTTTTATTTTTTTAATTATAAGATTATTCATTAATTAATAATTCAATTAATTAACTTTTAATTTATTCATCGTACTTATTCATTAATTCTTGCCTGATTATTTGTTTTTTAACGGATGATCAAAAATTCTCCTCCCAAAATTATTTGTTTTTTTTCAGTCACCTATAATTTATTTTCTGTAACATCGAATAAAAATAAAACATTTAAAATTTTTGTGTATGAAAAAAATATTTAAAAAATATAAAAAAATATTTACATTTTTAAAATTTTTAACGGTCTGAAAAATATATACGAAAAAAAAATTTACTTTGCTTTTTGAAACAAAGTTGAAATTCATTGCTTTAGTTTCCGGTTTTTTTTTTTAAAATATCATTCTTAAATAAACCAAAGTATTTTTGTTCCAAATTTTCTTCTAAAAAAAACCTTTGTTTTTTGAATTTTTAAAAAGCAAAATGGTTTGTAAAATTATTTTATTATCCTTTAAATTATTTGAAGTAATATTAACGCAATTTTTATAATTTGGCTAACAATTATCTTTTATTTAACAAAATAAGTCAGTAGTTTGTAATTTTTTTTAATAATAATTCTGTGTGAGTGAATGCAAGATATTTTTTTCGAAAAACAAAAAAAAGTGTCAACTTTTTAAAAACTTACTTTGTGGTTTTTTATTTATTATGAATCTAAAATACTTAAATTGTCATGTCATTCGCATTATTTGTTATTTACATTTACAAAAACACTAAAAACATGAGGCTATTAATAAAAGATTTTTTGAGAATTTTTGACTAATTTTTGACATAAAAAAAGATGCAAATGATTACTTCACAACGACGAATCATGATTATTTAAATAATTCGTTTAATAATAAATTTGTTTTTATTTGTAAACCTTTATTTTAAGAATTATCAATAAATCGAATTTATTTTTAATGAAATGCATTTATAAAAATTATTTAAAAAGAATAATTTTCATATTTTATCTTGAAAAAAATATTGTAAAAACAATAAACAAAATAAAGTAATTCCTTTATTCACCGGATTTTTAAAGCATTTTTACACTGGCAACGCATAGATTTGATTTTGAATTGAATTATTAAATTTTCAAATTGTCTTATTTATTTTCGTAGTATTTTTTTTTTTTAACTTGAATGTTTCCTTTCCCAAAATGAAACAATTACCTTTTAAATCAAATTGGCCTTTTAATCTATTTTCATCATACTGTTATGTTTCTATTTTCATTTCTTGCACCTTTCTTTATATGATCTTTTAACATGTAAATGTTTTGCTTGGTCAGTTGTTGTTCAATTATTGCATTCTTTGTATTCAGTCAGTCCACAGGTGCGAAATTTACTTTAAATTACTTAAAAAAAAAATTTTATTTTCTGTATTTCAATGGGGTACACTTGTTCAAATTTTCACTGAAGAAAAAATAAAAACAAAAAAAAAAGTTTATTTTCTTCGTCGCCTACCAACAGGTTTAACATTTTTTTGTGTGCACAGTAAATAAAATAAGTTTAATTCATTTTTACGGTGTTTTTTTTTTTTTTTTTTCAAACCTCCTAAAAACTGAGTTATTTTTTTAATTTATCGTATTTTTTAAAATTTTTTAACACATGTCTCCGAAATAGAAGTGACGAAGTAAATTAATAGAATTTGGGAATTTGCATTTTTTGAAACAAAGTTGAAATATAGCTTTAAAAATGTGGAGGTGTATAGTAGTAGCCACTGCGACCAGAAATCATATATATTTTTTTATTTTTTTAAAATTTTATTTTCATATTAAGCACGAAAAATAAAAGTTTGATGGGGAGGGGGATCCAGTTTGCAATATAAACTTATTGTGTATAAAAATATTGACCTCTCTCCGGAAGAAAAACAAAATATGCTCATATATATTTTTTTATTTTTTAAAATTTTATTTTCCATGTGAGTTCTTAAAATGTAAAAAATATTGAAAAAAAAAAAATTTTTTTTCACCTAATTAACTTTTTTTATGCGTATCTTTTAGGTTACCGTTAATTCACCCTCAAAATAAAAAGAATTTATTTACTAAAATTAACACCAAATTCTCTCGGAGCAAGGCCCTTCCATCGCTCTCCCTTTGCGATCGCCCTAAATGTAGGCGACTCGGGTGCACTAGTGTGGAGTCTACGTTCGTGCTGACTCCGAGAAACAAGCCAAAAACACTTAAATTTTTTTTTTTTTTTTAATAGTAAAAAATACCTTGTAAGTACCGCGAATATTGTACCCACTTACGAAATATGAATAACTCCCTAATTTTATGGTAATTTTTCATTTTGAGGGTTGGCGTTGTTGTAAAGCAAGCTTAACAAATTTTGTTGAATTAGTGCCAAAAATTTAATAAAAAGACAAACTTTGATTTACAATTTATAATTTCTTGGTGAATTAATATTTGCGAGAACTGGAGTGAATTAACAGAAAAACATCCTGCAATATAATAATTTAAATCTCGATCTGGAATACTTTTAAGAATATAAAAAAAAATGATTTCTGGCCATTGTATCTAAGACTCCATAACGCACGTTTTTTATTGGACTGACTTTAAAAGAAGAAAAAAGGCGTTATAAAGCTACAGGAGTGACTAGAAGAGATAAAACTCTTCATAACAATGACCAGAACCTAAAAATAATAATAATCTCTTACTTTTATTGACATGTGATTGAAGTTTATTTTCAAATATAAACATATCACAAACTATGCAAGGAATAGGACAGATGATATAATTATAGTAAAGTTGGTCGATTTGACTATTTATGTTTCGGTATCGGCTTCTGTTTTTTTCCCTTGATCTTGCGGTTTTTCAGTTTTTAATTTAGTATTTTTGCTTTCTAAGGAAGCTATTCATTTTCTTTTGTAATGATAGCATTTCCAGTCGATATCTGACTTCGTTTGAGATTGATGGTCCAATCTTAAAAATATTCATATGGCTGGAAATAAAAAAAAAAAAAAATAATCTTTCTAACTAATTTGTATGTGCTTTTTCATTGAATTATTTTATTTTTTTTTTTTTTTTTTTACAGAAAACTGTATTTTGCTTCGTCCAGCTGAAAATGCAAAATATGACTTATTTTTTTTATTTTATTTTATTTTATTTTTTTTAGATTAAATTTTACACATTACTTTGTTTCGCAAAATCAAAGTAACCAATCTTTATCAATATTCTTGAAATTGTACACTCAATTAGAAGACACCACAAACTACAACGAGGAAGATGTTCATTTCTTCTCTGACCAGAGGAAGTGAATTCCTTCAAAAATTATAAAGTAAGCCGCAAAAAAAGAGAAAAAAGCAACTGATAGTAAAAAAAAATGTGTGGTAAAAAAAACTTTCAAATTATTGAAATTGCTGTCTGACACTAACTAGTGGTTAAAAAAGGATAATTTTTACTTTGGGTTTAAAAAAAATGAAATGGAGTTTTGAAAATATACACATTTTACAACTGAGATGAAAACTTTATTTTTTTAATATCTAATTTTAAGTGTATTCACTAGATAGAAACAATTTTATTTGTAGAAAACAAGCAATTTTAGACTAGAGACTTGCACATCTGGAAATAAACACTTTTTAAAAGTGAAATTAAGAACTTTTAATTATTCTTTAATTTAGGTGCATTACCTAGATAAAAAAGAAATTTTCATTTTTCTTATAACAACTTTATTTCCTGATTGGCATACTGACTTCTTGGAAAACCCTTACAAACAAAACGACTTCATAAAATTTAGCATTGAGATGAAACTGGCAACTATTTTTTATTTTTACTTGCTATTTTGTTGTTAACTTAATTTTACCACAAAATTTTTTTTTTTTTTTTTTTTTTTGTAAACAAATAGATTTCACATTTATTTCCTAAAACTACTCAATGTTTTTGACATTTTTTTTCCATCTTTTTCTCTTACAGTGGTATAAATGCTAATAAAATTTTTAACATCTGAAAGACTTTTTCTGTAGTGTTTCTTTGGATATGGTTACTCGATAATGATAGCACTAAAAAAAAAAGTACAATTTTGGTTTTGTAAAAAATTTTGATGTGGTTTCACAATTTGAAGATGAAACCAAAAAAAGTCGTTTTTTTGGTTAAACCCATCTCATATATATATATATATATATATATATATATATATATATGTGTGTTTAGGCAGCAATTGTTCTTTAAGGCAAATATGATTAAAAATGAGAGACATCATATGCCAATTGATGTTAATGATCAACTTTTCCAAATTACAAATAATCCTTCTCAAGAGCTCACATCCTTAAATCTATATACAAAAAAAAAAGTTACACTTTGCTTATGTCGTAACACTCTTTGCTTACAAAAATCATCAATTGTCTCTACCTACTCTGATGATAACTTAAGAAAGTTGAAAGCTTGGACCACATTTCTTGTATTTTTATTCCAAAATGAACTTTGTACAATTTCTGAGAAGGATTATTCATAATTTTGAAAAGTCACACATTAAAATTAATCGACACAAAGTATCTATCATTTTTAATTGTATTTGTCTTATATCTATCTATCTATCTATATAAAGAATGTATAAACATAAAAATGTCTTAAAATATATATTTAGTGTATTGGGGAAGCAGATCATTATACAAATGTTTGCTTTAATTTCTGATGAAAATAAAGACAAAAATTGTCCAATATTTGGATTTTTTTTTTTTTATTAAGTTTGTCCTAACATTCGAATGGCTCATGATCAGACATAATAGACATTCATTGTCTGTTATACTTTATATATATATATATATATATATATATATATATATAATCATTAGGCCATATTTTTTGTTTAACTAAAAAGATGCAGGACTAATAAAACTTTTATATTAATTTGATTATCTTGTTCAAAGCAATTGGACTAATCAATACCTTTAGTGACAACACAAAGACTTTTGTAAGTCTCTATAAATAAGATTGAAAAATTCTTA